GTACATGCAAGGCTTTGTGATGCAAAATAGAACCCAAAGAAAATGTATTTTCTCTGATTTACCACTATTTCTATATATATCACAGTCAATATTACTTATGAAATCAAGAATATGTGTAAGTTCACTGGTCATTTTGTATAGCAAAAAGTGTTGAACATTTGCTGTAGACTTTGCAACCCCTGGTTCCTCTCACCACCACTGTAAAGAAATCCGAGTGCTTGGGTTTCTCCACAATAAACCATTTGCAGCAAAACACTCTGAACGACTTTGTTTACATCTCAAATATTGAATTATGTATAATCTTTGTATATGTTTAGCTTGTATATGATACCGAAAGTACTTTCTGTGTTATTTAGTACAATGACAATGGAGGAGCTGCTGAAGTCTCTGCAGAAGAAGTGTCGTGTTGAGTGTGAGGAGGCTCACAGGCAGCTAGTGTGTGCTCTCAATGGTCTGGCAGGAATCCACATCATCAGAGGTAGCGTCTACATAAACAGCATACTACTCCTGTGCAGAGTTTAGTAGGTTCCGGTTCACAATGTTTAAATGTGCATGATTGTGACTCTGCTAGGTGAGTTTGTGGAGGCAGCAGAGATGTACAGAGAAGTTCTTCGGTCATCAGAGGAGCACAAGGACCGCCTTAAAACAGACTCTCTGCAGGTACAGCACTGCCCACTACCTCTCTGCAGACATATCTGTGCTTCACAGTCATGGCAAAAATAAGTGTTTTTCCAGTGTGCCATACATGACTGTGATGTCCTTCATTCTAAATATAGAGACTTCATGCCACACACAATTTGATGGAGCTGCTAAACGCAAAGCATCCTGGTATACCCCCTACTCTTCGAGATGACCGCCTAAAAGAGGAGGTTAGTTCAGTAATTTATGCCGTCTGAGTTTTAGATGACAGGGATCATTCCTATGTCTGAGATTAAAAGTCTACTATGCTACCAAATGACATTAGTCCAGAACATTAGATTGTACAATTTCAAAGATGCTTATAACATTAAAAAAAAGTGTCAGTTGCCAGTCTGTAGAACGAACACTACACAGGATTGTTGTATTCAATAAAATACTGGAAGTTCAGTGGAAAATCTTACAAATTCCACTGGAAAGGCTGAAAAGAAGGAGCATAAAATGAATAAAAATGCTTTGTAATGAAATTTTCAGAATGGGTTCATCCACTGAAACTGTGTTCTCTAATTAGGCAGAGCAGCTGAAACAGCATTACATGACCAAGGTCAGCTCTGAAGTGTCCGAGGCTCAGCAGAACCTACTGCCCGTCCTTCAGAACATCAGAGAGCTCAAACGCAAGGTAGAATTCCTTGCGAGAACCTCACAGTAGTTTGGTTCAAGATGCATAAACAACCACACGTCACTATGTCTGCTCTGTTTTAGGTTAACCTGCGCTCCCCCTGGTGGTTGGACGTCATCCAGCAGGCCATTCAGTACTCCATGGATGATGACTTGGTCAGCCGCATCCAGAACGAGCTCACCTGCAGCTACAAACAGCAAGCAAACAAACTCTCAATGGCAGACAAGTACAGCAGTTGAAGTTCTTTGGGAATTCTACTTTATATCATCTCAGTCTGGTTGAACATATTTTGAAATGTTCGTTCTGTTTCTTCCAAGGTTCCGGGATGCACGTGGACTCCAGTTTTTACTCAGTACTCAGATGGATGAGCTGATGAAATCCCAGAAAACTGTTCAGGATGCTGTGAAAAAGCTAGAAGCTCAGCCTTCTCAGGAAATCATTGAAGAGGCAACCGCTTGTCACCTCAGGCCTGTTCGCCTTCCACTCAACAAGTAAGTACTTTTCAGTTAACATGTTCACTTATTTCACTTGTCTTTTTTAAGTTTTAGTTATTTTTGGACTTTGTCTTACATTATATCTAAAATCTAATCTATCTTAAAAATCTAGCAAAATACTACAATGTTAAATTTCTGGGTTTGATTCTGTTTCATTTTATAGCTGTGTGTTTTGCAAAGCTGATGAACTCTTCACAGAATACGAGTCAAAATTATTCTCACACACGTAAGTAAAAGGAAAAAAAACACTTCTTTGACTTAATTTAAAAAACAAGAATACTGTTCTGAAAGAATTTTGTCTGCGTCACTGGCAGAGTTAAAGGCCAAACAGCCATATTCGAGGAAATGATTGAGGATGAGGATGGGCTGGTGGACGATAGACTGCCCACTACCAGCCGTGGTCTGTGGGCAGCCAGTGAAACGGAGCGTACTTTGAAGGCCATCTTGTCTTTTGCCAAGATCCGCCGCATGGAGTCCGACCTCATAGAGGAGGGCAATACCTTTATGGAACTGTTTGAGTCCTGGAAAAAAGAGTACAAGGTCTGTGATCATGCACCCAGTATAGCGTGTAGAAACATAAACTGCAAACATAAATCTGAGAGGCTGAACTTTTTCTTTTTGTCTCTTGGAAGGCAGCATGCGAAGTATGTAAAATTAAAAAGTAACGCAGTATTTACATTGCTCTAGAGCAGCAGTGCACCACAACAGATTCTATTTATTTTCTGTCACAAGTGTCGGTTTAGTCAAATATGGCCATGTGACGCATGATGGGTCTGACGTCAAATTTAGGGATTGCTGTGCATGATCCCAGGCAATGTGATGATAAACAGTCAGATACCAGGTTCATTCTGCCTTTCAAACGTCCCTGTGTGATATGTAAGAACGGCAGAAGAACAGATATTGCAACACAACCGATTTATCTCTTGAAATCATGGATGTTGACTGCAAGTGATAATCAACCATCTCTGCTCCCCAAACCCAAATCTGTCCAGTTTTAATCTAATCAATATTTTGAAAATTATGAGCTTAATGATACACACTGTGTTGGCTTTTTGATTATTCAGAACAATCAAAGCATTAATTACATAAACATTGATTTAGCGAGACCATTTCAATTGGATTTCACAGGTGACCCTTCACTGCCCTCGTAACACCCATATGCAGACAGTGGAAGAGTGGGGCTGCATTCACATCCATTGCTGTGCTGGACCAATGTAAATGCAGTGTAAAGCTGGATTGGGCCCATTGATACACCTTGAATGATTTCTGCTTGATCACTGACAATATTTTAAATATAAATATGTATTTCTTAAACTTTTTTCAGTGCCTGTTATACAACATAAACAAATATGATGTGGCTCTTTCAGGTGTTGCATGAGTACTGGATGACGCTGAGGGATCGTGTGTCAGCAATAGATGAGCTGGGTATGGCTACAGAAAGGCTGCGTGTGCGTCTTCCTGATGAGCCCAAACCTAAAGTACTGCACATCATAGAGCCACATGAGGTGAGCAGAACAAAGCCTAGACAGTGGCACTCTGATAGCACACTATATCTGTGTGTTAACTGTTTATGTCTGTGTTTGCCCATTTGTTTTTGTTCAGGTGGAGCAGAACAGAGTGAAACTTTTGAACGACAGAGCTGTGGCAAAATCTCAGCTGCAGAAGAAACTTGGACAATTGCTGTACCTCAACAACCTGGAGAAGGTAACCACTAAACATTTGTAGTATTGACTAAGCTTTTCTGAGTTGGTGACACAGTAGAGTTCTGGAATTTTGAAAATACGTAACTGTTAACTGTATTGAATTTAAACGTAAAGAGTATGAGAATGCACTGTGAAAGGTAGTAGATGTGGAACAGACCGTGATAATGTCCATGTGAGCTTACAGCAGTCCAGTTTTCTTTCTATGCCATTGTATGACAAGTAAGATGTAAATCATGTGTCAGGCTCCAGTCCTTGCAGGCCAAAACACTGCAGACTGCAGCACACTGCCTCATAAAAGGCACCTGATTTAGCTCATCACCCAATTAGCAAAGTCTTTATGAACTGAATTCAAAGCGATAGATGAGGGAAAATGCTAATCTCGATAATCTATTCATGTTTGTAATATAAGTGCAATTTGAATGGGTCACTTATTTTATCTTTATATTAATTGCATTTTATTTAAATTCACTTTCAAAAGTTATAATTTGAATATAGTTGGTAGGTTTGACTGGCTTTATGGATAGAGAATTATACTAATATCTTTGCTAAACAATTGTTTCAGTCTCAGGATAAATCCACAGGGGGTCTGAACCCAGAGCCATGTCCTATCTGTGCCCGCTCCCTGGGTCAGGAGGTAAGATGACCTCCTACATATGAAGATTTAAATGGAGGGGAAATAACATTTTTTATGTCTTTTAAAATTATTTGTCAACATTGAATCTAAGAGAATATTAATTTAATCATTCGAAAAATGTGTCAGCCCAGCACAGGAAGAGTGTCACAATTTTTTTTCTTTGCTGATAGTGCTTAAAAGAGTACCACAATGGAATGTGACAAGGTTGTGTTTTAGCAGACTTAGTAAATACACAAAATGGTGGTTAACTAGCATTACTGCTAATTGAATGAGAACATTTAAGGACATTCTAATTATTTACTTAAAATTAGTTTTTTTTTATTAATAATTTACATTTAATCCGTAATGTGGAAAATATGGTCATACTTTGAGTGACCTCATCAGTCAAAATTACAATATCACTACTTGTCATGACCAAGGAGGTTTGGATGATGCAAATTCCTGTTGAATATGTGACTTGTGGAATATTCTAAACATTTCATGGGGGTGAATGTGTTCAGGTAACAGGGCTAAGTAAACTAAAACGTACATTTTCTTAATCTAAAATTGATCACTCATAAGTAGGGACACAGGTTGTTGTAACGGACACTTTATGTTTAAAATGTCTTTTACCGTTACATTCATGTTTGTAAATGTGATATCAGTGAGACCCAAAGGGTATCCCATTTTTGGAATCACCATTTTTAAATTTAATATTTTCATACTTCATAAGACTGTTTGGAAAGCAGTCATGTCTTTGTATGGCACTGTGTGAGTTAATGTGTTTGTGTTTAACAGTGGGCCGTGCTCACCTGTGGACACTGCTTCTGCAACGAATGTATTGCGATCATTGTGGAGCAGTACAGCGTTGGCAATCGAAAGAGAGCTATAAAGTGTGCCATCTGCAGGCAAACCACGTCCCACACTGAAATTTCCTACGTCTTCACCACCCAAGCTGCAGACCAGGGCGAGGAAATCCCTGTCAAAGTGAGAGCAATACAGAGTCAATTACTGGAAAAGTACAAACCTGCCGTTATTTAAAACTATGAAAATGTCAGGTATGTTAGGTTGTTTCTCTGGAATCTTGACCCATTGTAGGGAAGTCACTCTACTAAAGTAGAAGCTGTTGTCCGAGCCCTCAAGAAAATCCAGATGATTGACCCTGGAGCTAAATCCCTTGTGTTCTCCACGGTAACTGTTTTTGAGAGGTTTTAATGCACCTTTATGAGTTTATGAAGAGAATTTTACCATGTTTAAATTTCCATTTGTCTCTCAGTGGCAAGGAGTTCTGGACATCATTGCAAAAGCGCTCTTTGACAACAATATGGAGTTCGCACAGATCAATGGAATTCATAAATTTCAGGTTTGTAAAACTATCACACTAGACTATTATGCCTTTGCTGCAATTCAGAATGGAAATATGGAGGCCAGTATGAGTTTTATATTGCTCATGTATATTGCTCATATGAACAAGTTTTTGATGTACCTGTGAGCACAGACAGAAACATATATCATACCAAGCCTGTAACAGCAGCTCCCGCTTGATAATATATTCATGATTCCCTTTTTTAGGAGAACCTGAGTTCTTTCAAATATGAAGAGAAGATTAACATCCTGCTATTGCCTTTGCACACCGGCTCAAACGGCCTGAATATCATTGAGGCTACCCATGTCCTGCTTGTGGAGCCCATTCTCAACCCAGCCCACGAGCTGCAGGCCATCGGCAGAGTGCACCGCATTGGCCAAACAAAGTGAGCCAGTTAGGAATTCATATTGCACTAGGGTTTGCATAGATTAGCTGTTTAGTTGACTAATTTATCCACTAGCTGGTACAGTAAGCAGTTGTCAACTAATTAGAGACAGTAACCAATTGTTGCATGAAAACTATCAGTAGCTGTAATCAGCATGCAGGAGGGGCCCGAAGGCAGATAACTTTGTTAATCTGGAAATACAGCATAAGAGATTAAACCAGTTCCACTGTCAACTGCAAGTTGTGTAAGACACTCTGCCTGTTTAAATACCAGTTTTAACAAGCCTTCGTCCACTCGTCCTCACCGTTTCCCCTCATGGGAAGAACACCACCATATTAAGCTCAGGTGAAGGGTGTTAGGTAAGGCCTCAGAGGGTCATTGGATTGCGTGAACTTGTGTCATCTTCAGCAGCAGAACTTGCCCTGTTGTAGATCCCTTTTCAAACCTAAAAAAAAACACAGCAATAAAATACTTTAAAATGTGCAGTGTTTCAAAACATTCAATTTGCTGGGCTTAAGGTTGCAAACTACTTTGTTATATGTTACTTCACTTCAAGCCAAAAGCTACATGGCTAACAACAACAAAAAGAAAGGTACTGCACCACATTTATAGTCAGACAAAGCAATCGTTCACAAATTTTATGTACATTATCTTTGCTTTTTTCAAAGTTTGCGTGGCCAGCTGATTAGCTCGCAACCTGTCGAAGATGAGCTTATTCCAACTGAAAAATCGGTGCCTTGTATCATGTAGTAATGTAGGAGCGGTGAATTGAGGTTGGCGAGGGCACATTTAAAAAAAAAGTGTTGAACTGGGGCCAGTGAAATACAGCAAACTTCTGCTATGTATAACTACCTTAAAAGTTGTGCAAGATCATTCTGAAATATAGCAAAATACTTTTGCAAAGCATGAACACTTTAAAATGAACATAAACCACCACTAACAAGGTACAATACCCTGGACATAGGCAGGCTAGCATCACTGAGTTTAAAAATGCCCAGTTGTCCAAATGAAATACTTTCCTTGTTTTTCTATGGTAAATGACAACTAGCTGACTAGTGAAACTTAATAGTTGTGTAACCCCTATATTGCACAAGAGGATGTGTAATTTTCAAGAATAAACCATTAATCTTGTCTCTCCCTAGACCCACTTTTGTGCACCGGTTCCTGATTAAGTCCACTATTGAGGAACGCATGCAGGCTATGCTAAAAACAGCAGAAAAAAGGTGAGTATGTGTTACAGAAGCAGAGAAATACTTTTAATGAGTTACTTCATAATAATGCTTTTGTTTAATTTTCCTCATCATAATGGTTTATGTCTGCCAAAAATCTCTAATAATCACCTGGTTCTTCCTGTCTTCTTCCAGTCATGGTGCCACAGCCATGAAACACTCTGAGGCCTCTGTGTTCACAGTGGCAGACCTGGCTGAGCTTTTCACTGAGGATACAGACACACTGGAGTGAGACTCTGCAATCTCTGCCACACATACTGACCAGTGAGCATCAGGGCCAGCAAGGACGAGGGGAGCACAGAGGACCACTATTATAACAACCAGCACACAGGCTCTCCACTACTCTCAGTTATTTTGCTTTGCACTTTGTATGGCAATTAATTATGGTAATTCAAGTGGTGTAGTTAATTTATCATCTTAATGTCAAGTTATGTTCTCATCATACTGATTATGTTGAAACTGCTTTCTGATATCTGACATTAGATCCACTGCTACCCCATAAGTTGCCAGCTTAAAAAATGATGTCAGTGACTGACACAGATTTTATGGGTGCTAAACAATGAGCTTCATCCTTGCAAACTCCAGTGCAGATTGCACTTCACAGTGTGATTAGTTGCATCAGCTAAAAGCTTTTTAGCAGTGTGGGGGGGTTAGTCCTACCGCTGAGATTTGGAATCAGTGGCTGCATATGGGTCCTCAGGAACCCAGCTGACCCCAAACAAAGGTCACAGCTGTCAGAGAGCTGGTTCTTACAGCAGTAGTAGGCCTTAGGCATTTCTAAGGCTTGGCCCCTGCTAGTTTTAATTGACCAACAGAATAGTAACCCTTTTTATAAAGCAGTGCTTTTATAAACAAGTATTTTAAATGGCCTCTTAGAGGTAGCCTCTATTGAAAATGGAAAAACCAAATATTTGTGAACATAAATGGAGATGCACCTTCTAGGAGGAATGGCCACGATTATGTTTTCCCTACTGGAAAGGTGTGGAAGTCTTGGGACCAGTCACATTACATTTCATTCTTTTCCAACCTAGTAAGATTTCACACCTATCAATACAAAACCTGAATGGCCTCAGTAAATGAACTTAAGTTAGTTTCTGGCTAACTTTACATATGGCATTTTAGTACAGATTTGCACTATTTCACTGTTTATTCCAGAGAGGTGTTAGTTACATTTTTTGTCAGTTTCAAAACAGTTAGTAAGGATCGCTGCATTCTTTGTTGGGAAATGATGGCACAGAATGCTAAGGGAGATAACAGCACTTGCTGAAGTGAGAACAAGAAAGATTAAAAAATTAATAACAAAATGCTTAAGCCAAAAAAAAGGAAAACCAATTTGATTTTTTGCTGGCAAAAGAAATTCTCATGTGTCTCATGAAATTGTCTTTTTTTTGGTTGAATAAAAAGTGATGTATTTTGATGTAAAGTTGTAAAATGTAAATGTTTAATAAGAAACCATTGGTCTTTACAGCACTGGTCTTTGCTAATCCTTTTTTCTTATTTCTGATTGGATCATGATAGAATTTGGTGGTGAAAAATCATGCAAACCTTTTAGCTATTTGTATGACAAAAGACACGTTATTCATATGTCCATAAATGTTTTCCTATAAAGCTAAAAAAGTAGAAAAATGTGTGTTCTTTCTTTCAAGCTCATCTGGAATTTTTAGATCATAGAAATTTTCTGTAATCTATCAGATTATTTATAATATAGGAGAAAAAAATCAGTTGTGAACAAGCCAAAAATGTCTTTATAAATCATGAAAATACTACTGCCATTTTACATAGTTATTGAAGAAATAGTCAGTTCTGGCTTATAGTTCTAGCAAAATTATATAGTTACATTTCCATTTAAACTTCATTAAATAAAATCATTTTTTAGCTATTGATACAGTATAAAAGCCCTTAATAAGCCTACCTAACCAAATATGCCCACTTGCACTTTTACTGTGAAATATTTTTAACAAGTTTAGTTGAGATATTTGTGTGAACATTCCTGATCACAAGACAAAATCACCATGAAGCTTTGCTTTAAAATGTGCTCTTCTCAGAATTGTGTGGGACAGTTGAAGGTTAGTAATAATGACAAAATAGAGATTAAAGAGTAAATTATTTATATAATCGTGTTGCTCAAGACTTACATATGTTAGTTCCCATTTTGAAAGATGGCTTTATTGAGTTAGTTGCTAAAGTCAAAAGTCAAGTGACCAACAGCAGTCTGGACAGTTTGAGTTATTACTTAAAAACCAAAAACTCAACATTGCGGTTTAAAAACACTTCCATTCCATTCCAGCTCTATACTTTTTGAAACACAAACATTCAGACAAACCCTTTGACTAATGCAAGTCTGTTTGTTTTTAATATAGGCAACCAGTATCATTTTGTTAATTACTGAATTTGTGTGCAAAATATAAAATGCTTGAATTCCTACTTGGCACTGCAGGCTCTGATCAGCACACTAACCTCTTTGCATTTGATTTTGAATGTAAGCCAAATATCTATAAGCAACAAAAGGACACATCATAAATCGAGAGAAAAGGAATTACACCAAGAAGTACATCATTTTTGACAGACCTACATCATATTTGTGGCTGTGCTGTAAAAAAAACCATCATCTGCAGAATTCCACCTTTGACGTGTGGCCACATGAACTATTTTTAATGTCCTTTTTCATGCTGCATCTGCTTTGCTCTCCAGTGTTATGAATAAACTTGCACAAACACTCACTAGCTACATGACTCAAAGATCCATTTACAGAAATATACACAGCTTTATAAGAAGGAACAATAAGTGAATACATAAAAAACAAAATAAATGTCATTGACATGGCAGATTGACGGTCTTAACTAAAAATGGCATGATTAGTTAACTTACAGCTTACAGCTCCAAATTAAGTGTAATTGTTTTCTTTTTTTTTCTTAATGGTTTCCAATTTTAACTGGTTGTTATTAATCACTCTTAAAAGAGAGTCTCTGTTGTTCATAACCTTTTCAAGTATTAAAATAAATACTTGAATGAATGAAATAATAGAGTAAGTAGGCTTATTAGAAACACAAGTGGGCTTCAATGGTACAAGGGGCCTATTTAAGCCCAGTCCCGACTTTTCATCTTTTCTGTTTTTAAATTTTTTTTTTTTTAAATAATTCATATAAAAAATACCTGCTCATGTTGAAAGGGGGATTAATCTTCATGTTATTATAAGATATATCACTAAAAATGTAAAACTTTCGCTTTTTAGTACTACATGAATAATTCTGGAAATCCTTCAGGTTAATGAATCCCTACAAGAGAAATGTTTAATTATCAATTGGCATTACTTGAACTGAAATACGACAACCTGTTCATAAATGTGTGAGCTTAAGCAAGACATGTTTTACACTGAAATACTTTCAGGATTTTTGCACTGTGTGGTGAAATGTCATTTACATGATTCAAGTTTTATCAGGGTTCTATTTTTTGTTGCTTCAGCTGGATTACTGGAACATCCACATTCTCTGTGTCCACATAATTTTATAGTCAGACACCAGCTCCTCAGCCAGTGTGTCAGTGAACTGCCCTTGACTCAATGGTAGGGCTTCTTTTCATGCGAGTGATTGGAGTTCCCGAAACAGTAAAGCGTTAGCTGTGCCCTTTAAAAAACTTACAAACAAAAGAGTCAGACAAAACAGGATACCACCCTGCAACTCTCCATTCCTTTTACATGATAAACAGGCAGCTTATTGGCCAATGTATTGGGACATCGTTGTAAGGTGTCTAAGTGGGCTGTCTGTAGTATTTTTTACTCTTATTACCCCAAATCTACTCAGCATGCGTTACCTTGGACTCCCCCCAGCTTGCCCTATTCATGTGTGGAATCTCATTGTTGAGGTGGACATCATTCAAGCTGGTGTTTTAAGGCCTGAGGGAGGCTCCTACTTCATTAGAGCCGTGTTTCGAGGGCTGGGGTGAGTGCAAGCACGACGTCTGGGGCTGGCGGCCAGTCGGGGTGAATAGTGGAGAAGATTCACCGATTTGAGGGAAACGGCCAAAGAGGAGCTTAGGAGCAAAGTTTCAACCGTTGAGAAGCCAGAGCGAGTGAAGCCTTTCAAGATGCCACCTGCCCCACTGGCACTGACTTTGTGTCTGCTCACACTATGGACAGTTACCTCAGCTGCATATCTGGAGGAGGATGGTGAGTCTGCTTTCAGCCAACTAAATCTGAATCACTTAGAGGCTCATGCCACGTCTCTGATGGCAGACTAATAGTCTCCAATTAATCTGTAAATTTATGAAAGTTTAAGGGGTGGTCACAGATTAACACTGAAGGTTTTCTATTAAGAACACTTTTAAGAACACTCTTAAGAACAGTTTTAAGAACTCTTAAGAGTTTGCATTTTGGTATTATTGCTTATTTCTTATTACATAAATTTTGCAAAATAAGTTTCCCTTTACTTTTAATATGGTCTTTTATAATGAGGATGTGAGCAGGTTCTGGAACTGAGTTACTGTCTAATAAACATATAGCTACTGATCAGTATGCAAAATCAGATAACTACATTAAGAGTAGTCTAAGTGATGATATGAACTGGTGTACTGAATAATATTAGTGTAGATATGTAGGTATATAGTAATGGTATGTGCTATACTAACATCTTACTGCTAACTAATAGCTTTGGTCTGACACTCCAGATAATATCATATATTTGTTTTATGTTTTTATGTTTTATTTCCGTCTTTTCCCACAGAGCTCAATGAAACTGTTATCTGTACCAATGACCAGATGCAAGTTATCATTCCCAGTGCTTTCTTTCTCAGCAAGGAACCTCCTGTTTATGTATGTTTGTATTAGACCCAAAAAGCTAATAAGCAAATAAGTTATTTTTGTGATGAATATGTGTTTATATGTATTAATATATTCAGTCATTTCTATTCTCAAATTGGGAAGGAGCCATATTATGTGACGCACTAATCTTTACTTGTCTATTTAGATTTGGGATTTGCACCTAAATGACCCAGAGTGTCGTGGTGTTGAGATTGGGGATGATTATGTCTTCAGTATCAAGACTAATCTTACAGATTGTGGCACCATCACAGTAAGTTCAATGACTGTCATTTTATGCAGAACACTTTTAACTGAGTATATTCCTTATGATCAAAGGAATCTGTAAAACAATACAAATAGTTAAAACTAGACTTTGGTTCCTTTCTTCATATCTGAAATCATTTGTGGTTATTACACTGTATCTTTGTTGGTTAAAACGTTCCATTCATTTCATAAAACTCCTGTGGGAATTTTGTGACAAATATCCTAATTCAGTGAATTGAATAATACTTCTGCGGAAAATTGAAATGAAATGCAGCTACACTGATTGATGATTATGCGCATGACAAACACTAATCTGGGGGCTTTGTTTGCCTCAGGATAATTGTTTTATAATATGCAGAGAGGGAGAGGCAGAGAGGGAATGAGCAAGTGTTGCTTCTTTCCCTCCAAATTGGATGGCCTGAGCGCTTTCAGAGCTCAGAGGGGAGGGCCAGTAGCCACGCTGCTTTAAATTACCTTGATTTATATGGAAATGATGACTGTGTTTTCAACAGTAGTGAATAGGCTAACCATAATTCAGTGTCACAGTTTGTAGTCCCTCTTTTATTCAGCCCTGCAGCCTATCTCATACAGTCGTAACATTGCCCAGAGGACAAGTTTCACTCTGGCAGGGTATAAATCTGTACTTGAGACCATGAGGATCATTGAGAGGCTCACTCAGAATGCACAGAGGCATTTCTTGTAAAGCCAGCAAAAGGTTAACGCAGCTTTAGGGGGGTAAAATCCCTCCTGCCCCCCTCTGGTCGTTTAAGAAGGCTTTTTTCATACTGCTTTGTTGAAAGTAGGCCCGCTTTGGATTACACGTTGTTTCCAAAGGGTCAAAAAAGCTTTAGTTGCTGCTTTCATTTCCATGATATAGCAATTTCTGTTCGAAACACATCTCTACTTAAACATACAAATGAACTAATTTAGCATGGTGTAGCACAAATAGCTATTTTCATTAAGTATATAGATTTGCACTGATGTACCATACATTTAGTGCCACTCCAGCTATCTTTAGCATTAACCTAAAACAAATAACAACATTCTAGAGGTGGCCCCTTTCTCTTGAATACAGACTGGCCCTGTGTGATTTGGGGTTTGTCGTTATGGTGAAGGAACAGTTTACTGACATGCAATAAAGCCTCCCCGGATGGGGTGGAGAGCAGTTTGTCCTTTTCAAAAGCATAAAGGCCATTTCCAATGTCTTTTAATCTATTGCATTCACTGCCTCTTCAGCAGTGTTTGGGTTGGAATTATTCATATTTTAGCAAGAGAAATGGCATCTAAAGTCTAATTTTTTGCATTTTTTTCCCTTCAGGCATCTGATGACACTTACATCATGTTCACCAACACCATCCGCAACAATGAAACGGACGTCATCACAAGAAGCTTTGTCAACATTACATTTGGATGTCGCTACCCTGTAAACTACATGGTCCAGCAGCCTAATGGAGAAAACATGATCCGAGTGGACGTCAGGTAAGATTCTGCTTTGCATTATATAGCCAGTTCATTAAGGACTCAGTCATGCCGACCAAGCTATCTTGTTTAGTGTGAAGCTAATTGTGTAGGGAGAACGTATATAATAATGGGTTTAATTACCTCTATTTGTCCAAGCTTAAAAGGGGCTGAGCCTCAGACTAATTATTTGTTTTGCTGTTCAACAATAGCGGTAACCAATGGTAACTAAAGTGCGCCCTGAGGTTTATCTGAAGTGTCTGCTACAATATTCATTGAGAGTGCCCTTGAGCCTCCTTCAGAAGGTCTTTTAACATTCTCTGCCCCGCAGGACCATCACTCTGAACACAGAGGATGGAAATTTCTCAGTGTCCATGCTGCTCTATAAAGATGAGGACTTTGAGGACAAATGGACCACTGTTCCTTCTCTGACACTTGAAGACAACATCTATGTGAAAGTTTACATGGTTTGTATGAAGCAGAATAGATGGCATGACCTAAATTGTAAGCTATTATGGACCAATTCGTTTTCACATGACCACTTTTCAACCTCTCTTTATGCCCTTTAAACAGGCTGTTTTTGTGACTGTGCCTTTTCGACTGACACATGTTAATTACCTCTGTTCTGATTGGCTATACTGCATTGTGCCTCAGTTAAAAAGCAGACCATGCTGAAACAATCCTTATGACTTCAGCAGGAATGGGCTGCAAACTAAATAGATGGATGTATGCGATTACGTCAGTTTTCATGACCTCACAAAAACAGTACATTCAAAATAGGCTGTTTCTGCAGCTTGGTTTCCATTATTTAACTGAATGGTCTGAGGAATGTAAAGTAAATTTTCAACAGTGTTTACATACTATAGCAAACTCCCATAGACATTCTGTAGTCAGTGTCATGGCAAGAAACGGAGGGTCTAAGCTGGTTTTGCTGTAGGAAAAATGAATGGTGCTTCTAAAATCGCTGCAACCTCACCAAAAAACCCCAAACAAAGCAGCAAGGTTTGTCAAACGTGGTAAAGTTGGCAGTGGTAGAGTACAGCAGGAGTAACTGATGTTATTATATAATAGTATTTAAACATAGACTTACATTCAGGCAACATCATTGTAATGCCCAGAAGTGTTAGCTTGCTTGTGACATGTATATAGCATTACATATATTTCAACGTCTAAAGGACCTTGCAATTCAGAGGATCCATAGACATTCTGGGGGAAAATGTCCCAAAACGTATCCAGTTTGGAACCGTTTTGTTTACCACAGAGCAAAATAGCACTGATTTTTGTACCCACCTTTAATTTCTCCCATAGAGAAATCTGCTGGCGCAGAGTTCCTAATATGTGCAGAATGCTGGCTACAGAATGATGCATGACTTCCGAGGTCTATTAAAACAAGACAAGAAAAAAAATCAGTTTTCCATGATATGGGCCCTTTTAACTATAGAAGGAATTTTATAGGGATGGTCCTGTAAGTAATAAAACACTGTTTGTGAAGGTCAAAGGGAGCCTTTGTGTCTACTTCCAGGCTTTTTAATAGTGGCTGCTATGATTTTAGATGTTTAAAGGTTATCAACATCTGCCTTAAGCTATGAACCTCAGATCTATCCCTGCGTAGAGACCTGAAGAACAAGTCCTCATAAATATTTTGAGGGGTTATTTACAGGACCTAACTAAAGTCACAGATCACTAAATACATTTATAATTCAAAACAAAGTTAAGTTCCCTGTAGATGAGATTAATTCATCCAATAAGTCACAATCTCACATGATCTAGGGGCAAATCATTGATTCCATTTCTCCTTTATCAGACCCTTGGCACACACTCTTATTTACTCTCATCCTCCTTCTACATCTGCTGACTGCTTGGAACACTGTTTGCTCAATAAGTTGCTCCATTGTGTATATCTGCTGGTTATTGACAAGCCTGTCTGGACTCTCCTTGCGCAGATACCAGCTAATCTTATGCTCCGAGTGGAGAGATGCTGGGCCACACCAAACAATGATCCATACAGCAACATTCAGTACACTTTCATCAAAGACAGGTTTGTGCACATTCATATTCAGCTTGTGTTAATTTGGCTCTAAAGGAAGTATAGTATTCATGAATGTAAATGCCTTTTAAAAATGTGGCTTACCAGTTTGAAGTAGAAGCCAAAGCACTTTGTACATTTGTACATTTAATCCATTAGTAAACAAACCTTTATTGTACTGCTAATGGTTATTTTTATTCTTCTTCTAATGGTATCAAAATATTTACAGAAAACTTATTTTTATACTCTATTTATATGTATACTTTTACATGTATGACAACTTATAGCTCATTTTTCTAGATTTATCTCTCAATACTTCACTACTTCATGGATGTCACCTAAAAGGATGTTGTTGAGACACACTGAACAGTTGCTAAGAGAGCTGATGACAAAACAGCTTATATGACCCGTGTTCATGTGACCCCACTCTCAGGCAGTATGCATTTCACCACGACAGCTGTGCTCACCCATGACAACACAGACGTATTTCTCTTCTTTCAGCAACAGCAAAGCTTTTGAAATGTGCTGCGTGCCAAGAAAAAATACCTCTTTCAACATATGTATATCGCTGTTGTCGGAGCAAAACCTCATATCTCCAAAATGATAATTTTACAGGAGAAGGAAAAAACCTACTTTACTTATTTCCAATTCATTTTGGGTCATTTTTGTTGGTTTACCCATCATGAAATTTACACACAATGTAAAGGGTAACAGGTATTTTCAAATTATGTCAAAAACTAAAAAAACTTCAAAAATGAAGATACAAGCTTTTGTTCCAACAACAGCGATATGTATTGATTCTGCTTTTGTAAGCTAAAACATGGTATGGAATATGTTATCATTATCACATTAGCATCATTATTTTAATTAGTACTAGTTATTAGTACTATGTAAGATTCGTATAACATTTTCATTATTAAAATGTATCCCATCATAAATAAATACCAGTTGTCAAGTTTCTTTAGGTCCTCAAGCCTTTCCTGTATGTTAAACCCACTATCTATACCACCCTTTGAAAATTTCTGATGTCGCTCCAAGACACCTACGTACATTAACTTTCTGAGAAGGCTTCATTTAATGATCGCTTTCTATCACTGTGTTTCATATGGTCAAAATGTTAATTGAATGTTACAAGATTTAACTTTTAATTGATAAAACCATTTAGACTTTTAATTTTAAAAAATCCCAAATTGATAAAGTACGGTGCAAAAATCTTAGACACAAGGACATTATTTAAAACCATTTACTTTGACAATAAATGTGTTTGTGCTTGTAAAAAACAACATATACCATTAGAATAAATGCAGATCAACATAAATACAGTAAAAAGTGACAAGAATATCTTGTTTGATTTCTTGTGTGCTAGTTTGAAAAAGTCTCTCATTGAAGTTTGTCTCTTCAGTGCCTCCAGCCATCCCATGGATTTGTTAAATTCCGTCAGCAGCACATTTGATTTAACATAATGAAGCACTGATTAAACACACCAGGGATTGGACGACAGCTACAAATAATACTAGGAATACTAGGAATTTAGGAAATAGTTAAACAAACGCTTTAACATGATAAAATCACTATTCACTGTATTGATATTATTTATATTCATTGTAATATTAGTCTTGTTCTGAGCAAATAAACACTTACTACCCAGATAAACAGCTTTTTTAATTCTAATTTTCTTAAGTGCCTAAAACCTTTGCACAACCTTTGTCTCTCTTTAGTTGTCCAGTGCTGGAAAATGACCAGACGCTGGCTGTGATGAAGAATGGACGAGGTCCAGAGGCTCTGTTCCGGATCCAAATGTTCAAGTTTGTGGGCAGCTCGTACACAGACGTTTTTCTCCACTGCAATGTCCAGATCTGTCACAGCACTGCAGGAGTGTGCCAGCCTGTGAGATTATCCTGCCTCTACAACTCTTATACCGATGCACATTCCATCATCACTAAAAATGTTTTAATACCAATAATGATAACTTAGGGAATACTTTTCTGCTACCTTTTCTTTTTTTAATATAAACTGATGATGTGGACTAGTGGACTAATCAAGAAGTACTGACCTCAGTAACTTTCATGCAGAGCACAATGTAGACAGCCAATCACATGTCTAGATTTTGGAACAAGCATGCTTATTGGCTCACAGATGCTGATGACAGTGACCTCTTAGGTACTGTAATTTGGTCCCAAATGACACAGAATCATCTGTAGTACTGAATTAATTCAGTCCGTACCATCAAAGTAGCCCTAGGTACAGACCCTGAAATGCACAGTTTATGAAATGTAAGACCTAGTGGAATGGTGAAAAGCCCACACACTACACTACAATTATATGTAAGGTCTCTATTTCAGTCTAATTGAAATTCCTTTGTATTCTGTTCTTCTGTCCTGATTTTTCTGATTTTCCTCAATTTGCTCTTTCATTACCACCTTCAACAAATGCCAGAACTGCTCGAGTGAGGATGCGTTAGCACGAACACGAAGAGACGTTGCACTGTCCCACACAGTGTCTTATGGACCAATAAGAAGACTCCCACTGAACTCTGACCATACCAGCCTAAGTAAGTTTCCTCTGCTCTTCTGTGTGTTGGCTTTACCAAATGTTTCAATCTTATCTGTGTATGAGCACATGTGATTTGACTAACCTGTCAATACCTCTCTCTTCTCCTCTATGTGAAATACTCCATTTCTCTATGTATGTCTCTATTCCAGATGCAGGTATGCCCCCCGTTGAAACCTTTGTGCTGGGTGGTCTGCTGGTGGTTCTGCTGCTCATCACTGGTGTGTTTGGAAGGCTGTGGCTCAACAGCAGACGGTCCTATCCCACTCAAGAGGCCCAGCTCACCCTGTCCAACATCCACCACATCTCAGAAGTGGCCACCTAGCCTGGAAGACACATCTCTCATATACATACATACACATACACCATGAAATATATATTCTGTACAGAGGGCATCTGGTAAACTTTAGTGTGTTGTTTTAAAGAAATAGAGATCGAATTTAGGTCACACTGAGAAAACTTTGTTTTAAATGTGTACAAATGTCATTTTTATGATTATTTGTTTTATTATTTTATGGTTGTTGGTTGTAAAACACAAGGTTAGGAAGAAGGAGGAATGTTTTAAAATAAAAGAACTTTCACATCACTCTTTCCTTGACTACTGTTAATTTACTGGGTTTCTTGTTAATTTACTGGGGTGAAATTATGCAGTAAAGGTTAGAATACAAGGTTTATGACCCAGCAATATTGAAGGAGAATTCCACCATATATTTCAAAATTTCTTCATAATTTAATGGTTAAGATGTAAACAAAGTCATTCAGAGTGGTCTGATGTGAAATGCGCTGTTGAGGAGAAACTTACCAAGTCAGACTTGTTCACAGTGGTGGTGATAGGAACCAGACATCAGAGATGTTTAATGCCTCTAAAAGCTACCTCACACAAAGCCTTTACATAAAATGGTACAAACATGCAGATTAATGTCTGAGACTTTGTTTTACGATAGTTTTGCAATAAGATTTGTCCTAAAATGATTTTTTTTTTTTAAATCCGCTGATGTTGAAGAGGTATATGCCAGACAAAACAGAATTTTTTTTTCTGATCTACCACTACTTTACCATTATCAACATTTTACATTACTTATCTAAATAAATGTGTTGTTGTAGACATTGTGTCCCCTGGTTCCTATCACCACCACTGTAAAGAAATCAGAGTCGGTAAGTTACTCTACAATGAATCACTTAACATCAGACTACTCTGACTGACTTTGTCTACATCTCAATGATTAAATTATGTGGCAATTTTGAAAAATCAGTAGAATTTCCTTTTAATTATCCCACTTTGCAATCAGTGTAGCACAGTTTTTTTACAGGCCTAGAATGAACTGTTATGTACTGTAGGGTTGGTATACTGGTCCCAAAACAAACACATAACATTAAGTCTGATTTAAAGTTTAGTCAAATGCTTGTGTCAGTCTGTTGATGCTCTATAGCAGGTGTATTAGTTGAAGACCGTTTATTTGCAGAGCTTTATCGTGGGTTTGGTCTGTACATGTCAAATCTCCGCCCATGCGATGCAGGCAGGCCTGTTGAAACAGCGTGTCGTTACTCAGTCAGACAACGTAAATAAACACAAGGAGCAGACTGCATTAGTAAAGTGGGTAACGTTAAAACATTACTGACTAAATAAGTTTGACATTTACGTAAGCCTGTGAACAACAACAGAGCCACAATCAAAAGTACGCCTACAAGACTGCCACGGTAAGTGAGGTTAACTTTGTTTGTTGTTAACGTAACTAACGTTAGCTAGCTAACCTAGCTTTTAGATCTAACCACAGTTAGCCTGGCTAGCTTAGCTCGGCAGCAGCATCTTATCCTGTCAGACCGCAGAACAAGCCAAGTAAAATATACCGGTACATTAGCAGTTTGTTGGTTGAATAACCAGATATTACCAGTGTCCGCACCATTAAAAGTAGCTTTAATTAAGTCAGCTAAGAGGGGTAGCTAACTCACCTAGGTTGGTTAGCTGATTAGCCAGCTGGCTTCCTTACTGAGTGCCGTAAGCCGGTCTGTGTGAGCAGACTTCTGTTCTAAAATTAGGTCTACTGCCTCCTTTGTTAGCTTTGTTAGCTAATAACGTACGATGTAAGTAACATTTAATATCAGCAGAAAATTGTTTGGGCTGGTTTAATTATGTGTATTAAGTCAGTGGCTTGTCTTGAGACAGGTAGCTTAGTTAGCTGTTAAATGTTTGTTTAATTCCTCCTGGAGAAGTAGCTACATAAGCAACAGTTAGCTAGCAAGCTAGCTACCGAAATCGCTTAGTCAGATTTGGCTCACCTGCCTATAATAATATGCATTTAGGCATCGAGCAACGTGGTAAAACATGATAGTTCGGCGTTTAGCGTGCAATCATAGCTCAAATGGTTGACTGAAGATAAAGCCATTTATTCGTAACGTATGTTATGAAATGTCACTAAGTTAACGTTAGATGGATATAAACTGCTTTCGAAATCAGGACTACCTAACAAGGTGTTTTCATCTGCTGTGAGTTTCGCAATGTTTATGCCCTGCTGCAATCACGTGTGGTCTGTTGAAAGTCTCGCTGGCATTCATAAATAACTATCACAAAGCCGGCTTAATGTAGGTACTGGAAGTTTGTGAAACCACGGTCTTGGGCCATTGGGAATAAAACACAAGGACAAACATAAAAGATCCAGTATCTCTTGTTTCCTATTACTGCAGCGCACATTCACCTGCTCAGTCAGTCAGGCCCTGTCATGGGTTTCAGTCATTTTTCCTGAATGCATATGCATGGAGAGGTTTTAGTTTTTCATTGAAAGCTGTGATTGCTTTTCAGTAACAGATTGTTCAGAAATGAAAGGTCAGTTTTCCATTTGACCTTCCACTTGTCTTGGAAGAAGCAGTGTGACCATGCAATTTAAGAGGTGTTGTGAAATGACATGCAATAGCATGGACATTCAGTAAGCATACTGTGGACCTGTAACATGGTCAGGGTTTTTATACAACACAAATAACAAATGTGGTTAACAGCTGCATTTTTTGAAGACAAGATGGGAAGTTTCTGTCTTTAATCATGTACTCTCTTTCCCTCATTTTGCAGGAAGATCCTGTGGCATAGCCCTACTGAAATAAGATCAGCTTCAAGTTAACATTTATAATGGAGGAGCTGCATGTCCATTGCCAAAACTGTGTGAACAGAAGGTGCATGGTAAGGCCAGAGACTGGTATTTCCTGTGACCTCATGGGCTGCCCACTTGTTTGTGGGGCAGTTTTCCACTCATGTAAAGTGGACGAGCACCGTTTACTGTGCCCATATGAAAGAGTGCCTTGCCTAAATAGTGGTTTTGGATGCCCCTTTTTGATTGCCAGAATCAAAATGGCACAGCACTTGGGAATATGCCCAGCCAGTGTTGTGTGCTGCACCATGGAATGGAACCGATGGCCTGTGAGCTACGCTGATCGAAAGTCCTATGAGAACTTAAGTAAAGAGGTTTATGATGTTGAACAGCTAGATATGGCATTGGCCCTACAAGATCAGCGTATGCTACTTGAGTCTCTCAAAGTAACGACCACTGTGACAAAAACAGTAGATGAGAAAAATGAAGAGAATGAAAAGATGAACTCAAGCATCCAGGAGGTAGAAATGACAAGTGGCCTCATTGAAATGGATGGGGAGTCATACAATGAACTTTACAAGGCTTCAGTAGAGACAAGCAGAAACTTAGCAGCTGCTTTGGACATTCTGAGCAGTGCAAACAAAGGTATTGACTTGATCATGGAAAACCTCAGTGGTGCAAAAGCTGACAGAAATGGAGCTTGTCACGGTAATCTAAATGGGGATCTTTGTTCAGAGGAATGTAAGAATGTGGTAATGAAGGAAAGTGACACAGACTCTGAGTGTGAGTTGGGAGCTGTAGGTGGAGTAGACTGTGCTTTTCCTGCAGCTTATGAAGGAGAGTGGATGGAGGAAAATGGATTTGATGTATGTTCTGATGAAGAGGAGGAAATAATTGGTAAAGTGGAACTTGATGGACTGCTGCTGTGTAATGAGTTTAGAGATGTGGAGGATCACAAGAATGGTGATCTTGAAATGCATGTGGAGAGAGCTGAGGTTAGGGTCAATGGTTCCTCAGACATGAGGCCAGAGGTGCCTTATCATTCCATGCCTGTTGTAGCTGAAGAGCCAGAAATGGCCCACCCACCACAGTTACCACTACCTCTGCCCATACCCCTACCTGATTTGGTACAGAACAATGTTTTGCAGCAACTGCCTGTTGAAATCGAGGACCGGTGGCTGGAGCGCAAATTGCAGAACCTTCAAGTGCTCAGAGGTATGAGTGTGTTTACGTTCAATGGACGGCGAACTCTTCTGTCTAATCCTTATTTACTCCGGGCTAAGATGGAAGATAAGGCGGTGGACACGTCTGATCTAGAGGTTGCAGATGATCCAATAGGCCTTCATGGTATTGACCTCATCACTGCTGCTTTGCTCTTCTGCCTTGGAGACTCACCAGGGGGCAGGGGGATTTCAGACAGCCGTTTTGTAGATGGCTATCGGATTGATTTTGGCACACAGACTTTTTCCTTTCCATCTGCTATACTAGCCACCAGCACTATGGTGGGCGATATCGCCTCAGCATCTGCTTGTGACCACGCTAGTCCTCAGCTGTCCAACCCGAGCCCCTTCCACACCCTCAGACTGGACCTAGTTCTGGAGTGTGTGGCTCGGTACCAGACCAAGCAGCGCTCCATGTTCACTTTTGTGTGTGGTCAGTTGTTTCGCAGGGATGAGTTCTCTTCCCATTTTAAGAATGTTCATGGAGACATCCACGCTGGCCTTAATGGCTGGATGGAACAGAGGTGCCCTTTGGCATTCTACGGCTGCACCTACTCCCAGAGGAGGTTCTGCCCCTCCGTGCAGGGCTCTAAAATCATCCATGACCGATACTTGGGCTCATTTGGTGTGCAGTCTGGTTTAGCTGCACGTCCAGGCGAGCCTCTCTCTCGAAACACCTGCCAGTATGGCTCCCACTGTGACCACCTCAGCAGCTTACCCTTTGAGCTGCTGCAGCACGTTGCAAGCTTTCTGGATGGCTTCAGTCTCTGCCAGCTGTCTCGAGTGTCTCGTACCATGAGGGATGTTTGTGCTAGTCTGCTGCAATCACGTGGTATGGTGGTCTTGCTCTGGGCGAAGACGAGATGTGCCAATGGATCCTCCTCTTGGCAAATTAAAGACAAGGCAAGTTATTATTTGTAGCATAAATTAGCTTAATTAATGTGATATTTACAAACAGTTATTCCCAGAACATTGTGTTCTACAAATGACTAATAAACTGCTGCCTCTCATATTTGGCTCTTAGGTCTGGAGATTCAGCACAGCCTTTGGAACAGTGAATGAGTGGAAATTTGCCAACATTTCCAGCATGGCTGATCACTTAAAGACGTGCAAGTTCAACACAGTAGCTCGCCGAGAGGAGGCCATTCCCCTGCCTTGCATGTGTTACACAAGAGAGCTTACTAAAGAAGGACGTTCACTACGCTCGGTGCTCAAACCGGTGTTATAGGCCAAGCTCAAATGCAAATAAATGTGCTGCTCTAGAAGCTTCCAGTTTTTTGGTTTGACAGACGAGTCATTTGACAATACTTCAGATATTCTGACAAAATACCTTTTGATTAGTTTTTTTGTTTTTTTTTTCTTTTTCAAAACACTGTGCAGTGGAGCCTTAATTATTGGCACTTGACTTATTAATGTGTTTTCTTAATAAAAACAAGCTAGGTTTATTGCTTATATTCATATTTTCTATTTATTATTATTGATATTCTTTTGCACAGCTAGGCCCTAAACATATTGTGGCATGCATTGAAGTGTCATTGCTTTGATGTGTGTACTCTTACTCCAGAAATACTGCATAGTCAAATGTTGATGACCAAAATTAGGTTATCTTGCTTATCATTCTGCTTAGAATGAAACTGTTAAGTCAGTTTGTCTTCAGCTCTTTGTCTCTAATTTTGTGACTCACAAGGTTGTATACTGTAATTTTTCATTCGCGTCAGTTAAACAAGCAGTCTGATTTTGGTTTTAATATACAATATGTAGCACTTTACTTTGTACTGCTGATGTTTACTTTTCACAAACAGATATTGAACTGAAACTGAATTGTTATGTCAGTTGAAATATCTTGATGCTAACTCAGCACTGTCATCATTCATTGTTGTTTTAGTAATGAGCACCAACGATGCTCGTCTGCTGTTCTAGCTGTTAAATTTGTTTTGCTTTCTTATAGTTAGACATGTCTGCCAATGCTTTTTGGTCTTTTGCCGTTGACAACGCTACAACCGCTATTTTCTCTTGACAAAATGAGCCATTAATGAAAGCCTGCAGGACAGGTATGGGCTCCTGGTGTTCAGATAGCACAAAATGGCTTATATGTTGGACAAGTCACTTCATGACATTTTCTACAGCTCTGCATGACACATTTCCAGAAGTATCTTGTATGCCTCTCAGGGTTCTAAAGATAAAAAGCTGACTAAGAATGGACATTACAATCTACAGAAAGAAACTTGATAGAAACTCTTAATTGTACTTGAGTATTTGAGTTGTTGGTAATGTTCATGATTAGAAGATAAGAAGGGTGTTATTCTGTTTTTGATATATTTTGGTAAGCTAATTTCAGCAGTTCAGGGCCCTAGAATTGTTTTTGGAAATCCCTACTCATAAATACGTTCATTTTCATTGTGCAGAGTTTTCAGGAATTTAACATTAAACTGCATGTTGGAGAGTTCAAGTATAATTGTTTATGACTTGTAGATTTGAAGAACTGTAATTCTGCTGGACTTGGAGTGAATGTCAGTAGATTTGCATGGAGTCTCATTACTCCATTGTTGAAAAATGTTTTGAATATTGACCTTTTTTTGATAAGGATAAATGAGTCTTTTTCAGTTATTTTATACCTGAAGATTTAGCATTAATGCATTGTGATGAACCACCAGCAAAATGACTGTACTGTTGTGGAGAAATGCTTGTTTCTCTTATTCCTGATGCATGGGATGCTTATTGTTGAAAACCTTGGTTGCCCTTAAATGGTTGTCCTGTGTGTATCATTTAATGCATTTTGACTACATTTATTTAATAAACAATTATGAAATCCACAGCTCTACAGATTTATTGGAGCTTTGAAACAGGACAGTTTTGTGGGCTGATGTGCAGGAAAGAAAATCTTGTTTTCATGTTCTAAAATGATGACGTGTCTCAAAAATACACATGTATTTATTGTTTAAGTGCATTTGGCTATATACTTAAATATTAAAAATGGCCAGCTTTCCTAGTATGTAAGACGCTCGAAATAGATCTTGTCAATTATGTAATATTTCTCAATATGATATTTTTGTAATATTCTAAAATTATTTTATTTATTTAGCCCCAGCACTATGTGTATGTGAGTTTATTTTTATTATTATGTATTTTTTATTTATATTTCTTTTTTATAGCTTTTGACTGATACTGTATTTCATCTAGATTTAAGAAGATTTCACTCACAAAGATATTTTGCAGTGGAGGCCTTCATAGTCAGGTGTTAAGCTGAATCAGCTTTGTTAAAGTAGAGGAAACACCAAGGACCAGTTTCCCAGACCCAAGTTAAGCCTAAACCTAGACTAAAAAGAATTTTCAGTGGTGATTCTTTGTTGGTTTGGCAGTTTAGTCTGACCCATTCTGGGAGGCCAGGCCTACATTCTGCATGGATAATACAGGACTAGACCAGGGAAGAGTTTATTTTCTACCACAAGGTGGTACTAGTAGCTTGTGATGTGTTAAGAGACATGATGAACTTCATCTTGGTGGGCCACAGCTCTAGCTGATGTAGGGTTTTGGTCTGATCATATACACCAGATTTAACTGGTCAGTTAACAAGTTATTCAGGAGCTGATGCAGTGCTGTGGTCTTTCAGGACTGGTGCTTGACCACTGCAATAAACAGCAATGTTTGGCTTCACACACAAAACATTGTTAATATGGATGTGATCCTAGAAAGCAATCTGCAAATCAGAGGATATCACATTTGATATGTAAGGTAAACAGGACAAAATTGGTAATTAGGCTGTTTTAATTAAGCAAGCATTAACTTGTAAAATAGCGTAGTGTGATTTTTAGCTCTACCATGAAGTTTGAATCCTAAATAACAAAACTTTTGTTGATTGTAAGCTCAAAAAGGTATTGTGTTTGTACGAGTGGAGTGCTCACACTTTTCTAGAGAATTTGAGTGGAATTATTAAAGTATTATATTAATACTTCTCTGAATGACATTAATAAGCCAGCTTCCGTTTAAAAAGGGCCATGTTTTAAGAATATTTCAGCAGAAATTTCTCAAGGGGCTTCAGACCTTTCATATATTAAACTGAGCTGACACCATATACAAAGTGCCCTGATATTCAGCATTTTAATCATACATTTCTGAGTCATCTTACCTGTGAGCCTGCAAAAAGGGGAAGGAGAGGGAACATAATAGGCCAATAAATCTTCTGGACAGACCCAGAGGATGGGGGGGATGTATGGTGAGGCCTGACAAGCTCATATGCTCAAGTGAATCTCACTGAAATTAGCTCCTGGAGCATGGTGGCTCAGACATGGTTCCACTCCCTCATTCAGAAAGCTGAAGAAAAAACTGCACTGAATTGGATTCTGAACTTCTCCCAAAGAACTTGGAGGACACAACTTGTTTGTCTAAAAAACACACGACATGCACTTTCCTAATGGATTGTTCTCTAGCAATGTTGTAAGGGTTATGATCATGTTGGGTTAGGGTCTTTTCTTCTCTTTGATGGACTTTCAGCATCACCCAAACAAATGTATCCTCCAAATGACTGTGCCAAGGAGTAATTACCTTTAATGTGGCACTGCCTGACAACCTTTATCTGCTGAGTGATGAGGGCTTCTTAAATACTGGCTTTGGCTCAGCAAACATTTGCACTTTAGCCCTGCAGATTCAGGGAAAAACTTTGGAGAACTTCTAAGTGTTACTTAGAAAATACTGATATATGAGTTAAAAATGATTTTATGCCCATTTGCTCTGTGTCACATACTTTCTGACAATGAGTACTGGCACTGATTCTACAGTGAAAGCGGACAGGCTGAGTTTGAGCTAGTCACTTACGTAGAAGGGGTCACATGCTGTCAGGTTTCGATTTTGCATCTCTTAAATTGCTTTCTCATAAGAGCCCACTTATGGCTAGAAGACTAAGACAGGCTTTAATCTCACTCAATCAGTGTTTTTAATGGATGTGAAATTGATGAAGAAAGTTGTTCCTCAGTAATATGACCGAGAGGCTGCCAGGAACCAGAGAGAAAATTAAATGAATGAATCGCTGGTATGAGCATAAACAGGCCGAAGGAACAAATCATATAATAAGGAATAAAAGCGTACGACTCATTCCCCGCGACCCAGAAGGATAAGCGGTTGAGATGATGGATGGATGGATGGATGGATGGACTCATTCCTGACAAAAAATCTCACAATGGTGAAGAAAAAGTGCCATTAAATCTGGTTTATTCTCAAAGCAGCATAAAAGTATGGAGCTATAACTTTTTGACTGTATTACAAACAGTGACAAACACATCCAGTACACAGACCATTATCAAAAAATCTAAATAGCTTTGTGGCTTTGTGTTCTATTTTCAAGCTTATCTGAGGCCTACACAAGCATGACAAGCACAATCATAGAAGAGACGTGTACAATACTGTAAGGCAGAAATAAAACATTTTAGATAACTTAAGGAAAGAAAACACAAAAATGTCAGTGCACAGCTGCAGCACCACACATTCAGAACAGATTCAGAGAGAAGTCACAGTTCCTGTCCTTTTCACTAATACAGACATCTGTTAACATGGAGAAATCTAATTAACAGGACACAGATACTCCAGTGCGACATTATTCATATAAAGTACTAAAAATTACAAATATATGGTACTTTGTTTTGGTCAGAGTACTTACATCACAACACCTGCCTGGTTAGCTATTGACAGTCTGTGACAGCAAAAGATATTTTCAGATGTTTTATTTTATTTTTTTCTTTTTATTAGAGACATTTTTTATATATTTTTTTCCACGCTTCAAAGGTTGTGATGACTTATTGGAGCAATTAAGGATGGGAAAAATAGGGATGTCAGAGGTATTACAGCATTAAATGGCCATGTGTGGATGATCCTTGCTGTGAGCTTCTGCATAGCCAAACACTGTCCAGCTCTTCTTAAGTCAGCGATACTACATATATGTTTATATATGTTTACAAATTCTTCCAATTTCATTGGAGCAAATGCTCCAAAAAATGCTTTCCTGAATTCAGCAAACACAATTTCACTCAGCTCTGCCATGTGGGACAACACATGTTTTTTTATTCCTGCAAACCCACCTAAATTGGCCACCAGCTACCTCGTCTTTGTTCATAACAAAGACACTTGACTTGTTTACCAAATGCTGTGTCACAAATAATGCATGCACAAAATAACTACCCACCCAAAACAGGTAATTAAGACTCTGTGCTTGTCAGAATGTATGAGAAACCTGCAGCGGTCTTAGGTACATGCTGGTTATCATCTGGTGAGAAGCTCAAGGATAAATGAAGGCAGACTGACTCATAAAGAGCTGGGGGGAACTCTTACCAGGAAGGGGTGATGAGATGACAGCACTGATGAAAGTTCTGCCAAGGCTGTAACAGCATTATCTCGCTGGTTTGAGAAATTGTATTCACAAAAACAATATTACAAGAAAAACATGCAGAGACACGGATGATGCCTCTGGCAATAAGGTGAAAAATATGTTCTCTGCAGAATCTTTGTCATATCGGAGGTTCATTTTTAATTCTAGACAGCTGACATTTTATGCCACCGGATTTTTTAATGGAAGCTGAGATTGTCATTCAAAATCAGGCTTTCAGTGGCAGTAAACTGAGCTCTGTGAGAGTTTTACCCTGCTACTGTGGACGCTCGGCCAACACAAACAGCACTATCAGTGTCTGCATATCAGAGGCCAACAGTATTTTACTAGATGTGGGCTCCTACTGTGCTGATAGCCAGTGGGATTGCTGTGTTTTCTGTCAGGGGATGCTTTTTAGCATATGATCTCTCCTGATTGGCCTGTGGCAGATGACTTCTGTGTACGGTCAGACAGGTCTGGAGGAATGCTCTTCTCTTATTTCTCTCTCTCTCTGTCTCTGTCTATCTGATAGTATTCAAGACGTTTTCTCCATGCTCTATTTGTTATTTACAATAGGTCTTATACAGCCCCATCAAATTATTTTCTTACTCATGACATGTAATGATACCATTTGCATACAATTTGCCAAATCCCAAGATGGGATTTCTAACACTGCCTAATGTGGCTAAATGCTAATCCACTGCAGTAATGTAAATCACAGATTTTTTAATGTGTTCTCACATTGATTACTGGCTTCCCTTTTACAGTGCTGGTTAAAAGTTTGTGAACCCTTTATCATTTTATAAATTTCTGCATAAACTTTAAAATACGATCATATCTTTATTTAAGTCATAACAATAGATAAAGAGATTCCAATAAAACAAATAACACAAACAGTTATACCGATCCTACTAAAAAACATCAACCTCAGTCTTCACCATCAAATTCTGGTCTTTACCACTTATTAGTGTATGTCATTTTCAGTCAAAGGAGATTTCTGATGACGTAGTAAAATTATTTGCTAATGCTCATTGGGCTGGAAGAGGTTCTAAAACCTTTCTTATGAGTTTGGACTTCACCAATCCAACACCATTGTACCCTTCTTTGGAGTAGTCATCCAAGACTCCAAGACTAAGGTGGAGAATATTCTAGGAGATCACAAAGAACCTCTAAGGATCTGCAGGCCTCTCTTACACTGACTACTGTCAGTGTTCAAGAGGCCACAATCAGGCAAACACTGAACAAGAACAGTATGTATGGAATGCTAGTGTTGAGAGAGCTCTCCAGGAATAACATTTCTGCCTGTTTAAAGACCACCTGGATGAGCCAGAAGACTGCCAAAATAATGTTATGTGGATAGATAAGGGGAAAATCTTTTAATCTTTATCTTTTTGGCTTAAATAAGAGATGTTTTGTTAGGCAAAATTGAACACTGCATTCCAGCATAAGAACCTCATCCCAACTTTGAAACATGGTGGTGGCAGTATCACGATTTGGGGCTGGTTTGCTGCTACTGGACCAGGACAGCTTGCCATCATTTAATGGAGCTATGAATTCTGGATTGTATTAAGTAATTCTCCAGGACAATGTTAGGCCATCCATCAACTAAACAACCTCAACAGAAGGTGGGTCCTGCAGAAAGACAAAAACCCTAAAAAGTCTACAAAGAATAGTTAAAGCAAAAGAAATGTTGTGTTTTGGAATGGCTTAGTCAAAGTCCAGACCTTAATCTAATAGAAATGTTGAGACAGAACCTAAATTGTGGTGTTCACACATGAAAGCCCACCAACAAAATAAAATCAATGCACAGGGCTGATCAACAGTTACAGGAACTGTTTGGTAGAAGTCATTGCTGCTCAAGGGCATCACACCAGTTACTGAAAGCAGAGGTTCACATACTTTTGCCAACAAAGACATTAAACGTTAGATTACTTAGTTCAATAAAATAAAGAAAGATTACATCATTATTTGTGTTAATTGTTTTATTGGGTTCTCTTTATCTATTGTTAAATTAAGATCTGCTCATGTTTTAAGCCACATTTATGTGGAAATTCACAAAATGATAAAGGGTTCATAAACTTTTAAGCAGTACTGTATTGGTAGACTGAATTCACCGAGTTGTCCTTCAGATACAGGCACATTTAAGAGGTGTCCTTCAGGAACAGGGCATAAAGTAAACCCGCCTCAACAAGTACAATATCACAAAATCTAAAGGGAAAAATGAGGATAATAAAATGAATGCTCTTTATTTGTAGACCTGTTAAAGTGACCTTGTTTAAAGAGATCTAATGCATATGTATTTCAACAGTTTACATGGAAATAAAATACACCATGTAAAACTAGTCCATTGCTAATTCCGACAAAGTCCATTTCTACTTTATCTGGGTCACTTTGCAGTCAGCAGATGTTCACATCTTTTCTTGTTTGTTTAAGCATTACAGCCTTCTGCCCAAACACAGGCCCGCGGTTATTCTTGCAAGCAAATGAAAAGTGGGAAATGGCTGTTGTTATGGGAGTTGTTAGGAGGCAGTGACTGGCTACCTGCTCGTTTCTTCCTCCTGAGAGGTCACATTGATGGGCAGAGCTTCTCCCTGTTTGTCCACTGCATCCAGTGTTTGGCAACTACTCTGCTGCGTGCATATTGACCAGTGAGGGGATTTCAGATACGCTTGACTGTGTGTGTGTTGTTCTTTCCTGTAGGCATAAGTTCAGTTATTTTAAGACTTTTGCCTATTTTTGAAATACATCATAACAATTGAAACAAAATGGCATCTTCAGGTTCACATTCAATGCCAACTACTTTTTGTTCAAGTTTAAATGAAATTTAAAGAGCCCATGTCATGGAAATCAAACATTTTTTTAAATAAAATAGTTTGATGTAGTAGATTTACTCCTCATGTCATACAGTCCACTGGTTAAAAGCAGTGTTTCAGCCTGGAGTGTGTTTTGAATGAAGATCCAATGCAGGATAGCCAATCAGAACTTTTTTTCATTTACATACAGTCTTATGCAAAAAGTTTGAACATCCTGTTCAAATGACATGTTTTGTTGATTTTATTTTATTTAAGTTAACTCATTTTCTATAGGAAATGCACTTAAATATGGTTTCCCATAACTTTTATACAGGTCACATTGTGTTTTAGTTTTTTCCAATATGTTAAATTCAGTAAATAAGCAGTAATTGTGCAATTGTATGTGCAGAAATGTGTTCTCAATAGAGGATGTGTTAACTTATTTTTGTTTAGAAAATCAAAAAAACATGCAATTTGACCAGGGGTGCACAAACCTTTGCATACAACTGTATATCAGTCTTAAAGGCACAGAAGCACAATTAACTTATTTAATTCTAAGAAAATTGTCATGTAAGAATTTAAACAATTACAAAAACATCATAAGTGGACCCCAAAAAACAATAAAATACAAGAACAATGTAGGATATGGACCCTTTAAATAATCATTCAGCATCTACACAGTGTATTAGAATAGAATAGAATAGAATAGTATAGAATAGTATAGAATAGAATAAGATTTCCTTATTCTATTCTAAGTTTCCTCTTTAACAATCAAAACCCGATTATATATGCTGAGAGGTTAGAGATTTGCGGCAGGCAGTCTCATTGTCACCGCAAGAGACAGACTGACATGCTGTCATTGACCACGAACAGAACTGACAAGAATGACTCATTCTTTCCTGTTGACATGCTAGAGTTTGGTATGGACAAAGCATCGTCAGATTCATTTTTCATCTGGGTGAAACTAGGCCAGCTGAACAAGAATAGCCATTAGCATGAAAACATGCTCTAATACATAAGCTTGATTAGTACATGCAATGATATTTAAAATGCAGAAAGTTTATGGACAAAATTAGACAAGTTTCAGTTACTTACAAAAAGTAATGTTGGTATCTTTACAATAAAAAAAAATAATAAGGCAAATGCACTGGGCAGGCTTTTGTCACACAGACATATAGCTTTGTGCCACCTCAAACCATAGCCTTTACATGCACAGTTTCAAACGTAATGAAAAGTTAATCCCAGTGTGTTGTAGTCACAGTTTCATCCTCCTGGTGATCAACAGTTAGACCACTCTGTTCTCTGCTCCACCCTGGAGACCTCCTAATTTTTGTTTCCCCGCTCATTAGTGGACTGTTTGTGGCAAAGCTTTTCATTTTCCCCATGTGGATGTTTGCCTAGCTGCTTTCCTTTTATTTGTGTATCTTGTTTTGTCCTTAGCTATTGTCTTGCCTAGCCTTAGTTCTTTGTTGCTGCCTAGTCTAGGCCCTTTGTCCTGTGAGGCCTTAGCCTATTTTCCAGCTAAGCCATGTGCCTGCTCTTCACCATTTTCCTCCTTAATTTTCCTTTGTGTTCATGTTTGAATGCATTATATTTTGCCTTGTCTTGCCACTAGCCTAGCCCACAGTATTAGTTTGCCGTTAATTTCCCTATTATTGCCTGTCCTCTTTATCTTGTTAGCATTTGTATTAGCTTAGTTTAGCTTAGCCAAGCCTTAGTTTTCTGGGCCTCAGTTTCTTGTAAATGTTTTTCCCTCTTACTCGGTCTTCAACTTCTTTGTTGATCAGTAAACCCTACTGCACAGTTCCCTGTCCAGCCTTAATTGTTATAAATCCCTTGGATCAGACTATTAATTAGTAATATTTTATGGAATTAATTTTGAAAAAATCTAATGGCAGATGAGTGTACAAAATGATTCAAATATGATGCTTATATTCTAAAGGTCTCAAGCTGTAATAAATAAGACATTATTCATGATGAACGGAGCTGTAGGTGATTCATTACTAATTGAGAAAACTGAACATTGGGCCTTATTCTCCAACATATTTAAAAGGTTATGAATCTGATGTAGACTTTATCTTAGGACCTTTCTTAAGAACACATTCAAGAACAAACTTAGGAAGATATTGGAGAATAAGGCCCATTGAGAATGAATTTATAATAAAATTAATGTTCAGAATGTCTCATATTCAAAACGCAGTGACCAAAACTCACTGATCAAATAGCTATTGACAGTTATTTTGTTAAAAGTAATTACTATATTGTTTTTTACCATCTTACAACTTCTTATTGTTCAAATATAGATTAGATTGTGAATACAACATCAGTCAATGTTTAGGTGTCTAGTTTTGTAGCATTTTAAATTACACTGTGTAAGTTATTATTGAGTAACAATTGTTAATATGACAGAAAGATTCCAAACTTTTGAATGGTAGTGAATAACTATAAGTGTAAACTGCATGTGGAAACAGCAGTGGCATTGTTTCATTTTTCAGTGGCTGTCATAGCTGAGCTTACGGAGAGGAAGCAGATGCAGTTGTCAGGGAAAAACCCAAAGTCTTGAGAAACACTGTTAAGAGCAAATTTAGAATTTCCCTGAGAAACACTGAGTGTTTGTAAAGCTTTGTTTGTTACAATGCAGAGTACCGTAGACTAGAACTTGCTTACAGGCACATGCAGATTGCAGGCACAGCAACAAAAACAATAATGGCATCAGCAATTCAAATTAAAATACAGCCTTCTCTACTGTACAGCCTGCTAAAAATTGAATAATCCACTATAAGATCATAGGAGACTCTTATAAGAGCCTTTATTAAATATGGCTCTTCGACCTTTTCAAATATTGGATGATTCATACAGGTTGTTTATTCAGCACTAAATGGTGGGATGAGCGGAGGAGTAGTGTGAGGAACAGCTGTGGGTGTGGATACTCACTCATAGTGCTCTGGACACATGCTCAGCAGTGTGACTGGGCTGCAGGAAAAGTCGGCAGTGCAGGAAAACATCATTAGGTAAGATTCAGGTTATTGGCATGAGAAAAAGCTAGAGAAGGCTAATCAGCTCAGTCAACAAACACATTTATTGAGCCATTCTGCTCGGCATACAGAGCGGTGTTTCTAACAAGAGCTCCTGCTGTAAAAAATGTTTATAAAAACAAGTGAAGGTTGAAAGACAGAATGTTGAGAAGGGCAGAATGATGAGAGCAGAATTGGACCAGTGTGGAGAGAGCCAGAGAGAGCAGCTGGTGTATTTCACGATTAAAGACAGCTGAGCAAGTGATGAATGCCCTGTCCTTTCATTTCCCTACTGATGTCACTAAACACAGACCAGAGATTGCTTTTGTAATTAAATACAAAGCCATAAGAGGGGGGCACTGCATCTTTGTTGACATGAAAACATAGGAATGTAGGAATCAGGCTGACGTGAATTGATGTGTGCTTGTATCTACCAGTGCAAGACATCACCTCTAAAAAAATGTGATTAATCATCTCACCAACATACAGGTAACCAACAGTATAGAAAATAATCTTACAGCTGATTACATCTGGTTTGTTCATATATAATTGTTCATTTATATATAACCAAAAATGGATTTCTGACTTGTACAACAGGAGAACTTTTGGTGCTACATAGAACAATTTTTCTGCCTTTAAATAACTGTATACAACAGGTTCTCCATCATATAAATTACACATAATAATAATAATAATAATAATAATAATAATTATAATAAAATGATAATAATAATAATAATAATAATAATAATAATAATAATAATTGATGCAAGAGAGCATCTGTATTCTTGTGGAGGCAAGAATGTGGCACACTCCAAAGAACCATTTAAGCATTCATGATTCTATATACAGTACTGTGCAAAAGTCAGAGACAACTCCTCCTTCATTAATTTCCAGTAAAAAAAAACACAATTAACTTAAGACAATGCTAAAAGACAAAAGATAAAAGACGAAAAAGAAGAAAATTTGCAAATCAATTAAAGAAGCTGCTGGTGCTTTCAGAACAATGGACTGACCACCCCCAGAGGTCAGACCTCAACATCACTGAATGTGTTTGAGGTTGCGGAAGATGCAACCAGCCCCTAAGACTGAACTTTATCCCTGCAGATTTGAAAATTGAAAATATGACACTTTGTTGTTGAGGCTTCTGTGTAATTTCTTGTTAAATATATATGTTTTCTGCTGAAAAATGAATAACTTGTACTTAATAGCTGTTTAGAATGGAAGGTAAATAAATCAAGGTGCTCTCTGACTTTACACAGTCAATACCTTTTCTAAAGAGCCCTTGAGAAAAAAGAGTGTATATCTGAAATTCATATAATGTATTTAGTGCGAAGCTGAGTCCACAATAAAATGCATTAGCCTTAATACTTACACGTCTAGATCACTTTCTAGGATGGCCTGGACTGGCAGGTATCCAAGGCGTGGGTGTTTGGTGAAATACTTCTTTGACCGGAACTTGTTCTTCAGCACCTTGGTGAAGTCACGCACATCTTCCCCAGAGGTCGTCTGAAACAGAATGTTGTCGGAGTGATGCTCGGTTCCGTTCGGGTGGTAAACACATGCTGCAGCATATGTCTGGACTGCCTCTGTTTACTGGTGTTCAAACCTGATCTGCTGCTGTTCACATGTTGTAGTTGTGTCTTTACAGAATTTAGTATTGTTAGAGCACTGAAATTGTATTATCTACTCTTTTAACCCCACTCTTGTTTTGGTCTAAAGTGATCTAAAATGACTGTAGCCATTTAGAACAGTAAAACAGATGAAACATACACTATATGGACAAAAGTATTGGGACACACTTCTTAATTACCGAATTCAGGTGTTTCATTCAGTCTCATTGCCACAGGTGTATAAAATCAAGCACCTACCCATGCAGTCTGCCTTTACAAACATTTGTGAAAGAATGGGTTGTTCTAACGAGCTCACTGAGTTTGAGTGTGGTACTGTAAAAGGATGATGAATAATTAAATATAAACCTGAATGATTTAGTTGATTTTAAATTGATTTTATGTAACATTTTCCAATTTAAGTGATAAAATTCTCATTACCCCAATGCAGTAAGATCTGAAGATAAATCTGTAAACTGTTGTCAGACTACTTTAAAGATTATTAACAAGACATACAGTATTGTGCAAAGGTTTTATATACGTGAGAAAATTGGATTTAAAAAGCTGTTTTTTTGGGCAGCTTTTTAAAAGTTTTTTTTTAAGTATTTATTTGCAAAGATAAAGCAAGCGTATTTGTGATGTCCAGGTATAAGTGAAAATAAGTTTATGTATATATATATAAAACTGCATGTGCTTAAATAAGAGAGCAGCACTGAGACTGAGAGTACAGGATACTCACAGGGGTGCAGTATTCCACCATTGGATAGTTCAGTTTGTGACCCTTAGTGGTTCTTCCAGAGAAAAAACACCTCTGGCACACATCATAGTTAAAATGCTTTAGACTACGATACCTGAAATATAAACAAATCATTTTTATTCAGTACTGGTCCCTTATCTATATGCAGTGGAGCTGACATAACAATATAACATACAGCAATGTAAAAAGAACCATGATCTATAGGATTAAATATAAGCTCCATGCTTTACCTGAAGCCCACCATAGGGGCACTCTTTACAGATGTTACATTTGGCCTGATGCTTGGCGGTCTCAGCTGCAGCCACTCTGTGCAGCACTGGTAACCACACCATCGACTGGGGCTCCAGATGCATCCACTCTACAAACTGATCCAGCTCAATCGTCTGCTTACAGCCCACCTGGAGCACAGCAGCACAGACAGATCACTGATTCATTATGGCAATGGGGGAGACAAGGGAGAAGTCATTCAGTGTTTTGACGTGGAATGTTCTATTTCAGAAAAACTTGCAGAGTCAAAAGAGTTGAATGCCTTTAAAAGCTACACCACAAAAAGTAACTGCAAGAAATGCTTACAAATATCCTGCCTGATACCTGAAATTGTTCAATGATACTTTTGTGATAAAGTTTTGGCCTAAAATATCTTTAAAAAATACAATTATTTTGGAGAGGTACATGCAGGGTGTTGTGAAGCAAAATAGTATCCAAGGAAAACATTTTTTTTTTCAGATTTACTACTATTTTACAATTATCAATATCACATAAAAACTCAGAAGGCACATGCAGTTTCACTGGTCATTTTGGACAGCAAATAAAATAGCTATACTTGTGTTACAGACAATGTGAGCCTCGGTTCCCATCACCACCATTGTGAAGAAATGTGAGTTGGTACGTTTATCTACAATGAACTGTTAAACATCAAACCACTCTGACTGACTTTGTTCACACCTGATTCAATTATATAGCAATTTTGAAAAATCTGTAGAATTTCCCTATAATAATCCTTTTTTGCAATTATTGTAGCAATGGCCTTTTACAGGCCTAGAATAAACTGGTCATAGGCACCAGAGCAGGAGTCTCAATTGTCAACAAAAAAAAAACAGTTTTGTGCGTAAACCTTTGTATGTTTATGCACAGAATATGATTTATTAATTTTCCCCTCAAAATAAAGTCACATGAGTTTTCGCATGTAAAAAACACATGTGGTTTTTAAAATGTAATGTTCAAATGTGAAAAACGTATATATATGTATATAATGTATATAACATTTCTAACACGGGTCATGTGCATATATACAGAACTACTCCTAACCATGCATATGCAGAAACCCTTACTACTAGAGAAGTGCATTCACAGGTAAACTGGTTATGAGACTCACAAACTCCCATTCATTTTTCAGCCATTCACTGGTGATGTCCTAATAAAGTTGTAGCCTACTCTGCAGAAAAAACAATATAAAAATGACTTTGCTGTAGATTATTTATCATTTCAGAGACATATTCATCTATTACGAATGTCTGTGATATTCGTCCACAACTTCATCAAAAAAGGCATGATGTATTGTTGGTTATGTGGCCTAAGGGAGCAGTACTGGTCATTCTAGTTTTCCCTGTGGCATTGGACCTGTTACTACATTTATGGATCAATTAGATCAGGCCAGTAAAGAGCAGGGCTATCAACAGCACCTCTTTCATTACATGGAACATTAAATAAAATGGCTTCAGTGAGGCAGACAGGGGACAGTAAAGAGAGATGGTAGTTCAGTGGCAGCAGAAAGAATGGACTGGATTTAGAAATCCATTATATCTGTAGATGCATTTGATGTCATAAGCACTCCATCATAATGCATTACAGGCACAGATGCCCATAAATCAAATGGATTCACTTCAGTCCTTTCAGAACTTTTGACAACAAATGTATGCAAGAAATGTTTTACCATGTTTTTCATCAAAAAATGCAAATGTTATACGTGATTCAGCTTCCACAGTTACATTTGAGTCTGCACTCATTTCAGTTCATTATTAGAGTGGAGGAGGAGCCCCATGGCAACCCTGAAAGTTATAATCAACATTTCCTTCTTATTGATACAAAAAACAAAATACAGATGATAATGATAAACTCCTTTGGCTAAAGAAACAAGTCTAAGCTCTCGCTCAAGAACGGTTATGTCTATAAGCATTTTTAAAAAAAAATGTATAGGTGGGTGAATATGCAGTGCAGTCTGAACTAGGGCTGCACAATATATTGTTTGTTGATCATTATTGCAACATTGGCTTTTGCAATACTGATATCATAAAAGGCTGCAACATGCAAATGAGCTCTTGCAGAGGTGGAATGTAACCACTGTTCTTGTTACAGTACTTGAGTACATTTTCTTCTGTAATGGTCATTTTAGTACAATTAAATCACAGTATGTTTGCATATCAAATGCTAAAACACACATCTTCTACACACATCTTCTAAGCCGCTTATCCTTCTGGGTCGCGGAGGATGCTGGAGCCTATCCGAGCAGTCATTGGGCGGAAGGGCAGGATACACGCTGGACAGGTCACCAGTCCGTCACATACTCTTTTTTTACCCAGTGATGTTACTGACCTGTTGCCTATTAACCTTCAGATGTTTTTTAGCATTACACAACTTTACCAGTCTTTTGTTGCCCTGTCCCAACTTTTTTGGAAAGTGTTGCTGCCATCAAATTCAAAATGAGTATACATTTTTCAAAAAACTTTATTAAATTTCTCAGTTTCAACATTGGATATGTTGTCTTTGTACAATTTTCAAATGAATATAGGGTTTAAATGATTTGCACATCATTGCATTTTATTTTCATTTACATTTTGCACATCATCTCAACTTTTTTGGAAATGGGGGGCTATTTAATTTACAATAACCATCACAGAGAAAAAAAATGTGTATTTCAGCTTGTAAACCAATGAGAAGAAACTATGGATAAAACTGAAAAGATTCAGTTTTGGAAGCCAATCATAGCAAAGTAGGCAATACTAGCACATGCAGGCCATCCAAATCGACTCAATATTTTTAATTAATATAAAAAATATATATTTTCCCTAATTCATTTTTGGCTCTGTGTGGGTGAAATATTGTGATTCTGTGTTGAGCTGCTAGTGAGCAATGAGGGGTGAAAGCAGAGGGGTAAAAACAACTGACACCTCTCCACACAGACATAAAATGTGATAAAATGGTCAGCACGACTGCAGCTTTCCTGATATCACAAAATGGTACACAACTGGCAAAATAAGAAATATAACATTCAAACACAATAAAAACACTTTTATAAATGTTCACTTGCTTATCCAAGAAGACGAAATTCCAGTTTGGATCCAGTTTTGTAAATCACACAATAAATAAATAAAAAAATTAAATATTTTCGCTATTTTTCCCAATTTTCTCCCGAATTTATTTGTGTCCAGTTCCACCACACAGCTAGGTCTCCCCATCTAAATACTTCCACTGCTTGGAGGGTAAAGGCTATAGCATGTTTTCAAATGGCCAATTCTGTTCTGTCAGCAAACAGCTAGCATTGGCTAGCATTGCACTAAGTGATGGGTGGAAAAAGAGGGCAAAGTAATTATAGGAAAGTCTGTCCACTCTGTGGCCATCTTGGCAATGCTGCCGGGCAGTTATTTCCAGTTATACAAGGCCAGATTCTTATCTCTTTATGATAGATCTCTCTCTAATGGGGAAACTTAAGGCCAAATTACCATTTCAAGAACATATTTGAAATCACCAGTAAAATCTAACAAAAATCTCATAAACTGAGGGGAGCTTTTCCCACTTGCAGCTTTACCAGCAGGCCGACTGGCTCTTTTTAGTGAAGGGCAGGACTTTCTCTGTAAACAGATGCCCTGTTGAGCGTTACAAGCTTTCCCATTCATTTTCCAACCAGTGACCTGTCTCCTCCCTTTATAATGTCTCTGGGGAGGGCCACCCTACCAACCCAGACTGAGCAAGCGCTTTTTCGAACTGCTGCTAACGCCACTAATGTCACTGGACAGCTCAGTGTGCTTGGAGCATGTCAGCTAACATCAGCTATGCCAGCTAACATTTAGCATTTGCTAGCATTGCCCTAGGTGAACTGTCACTAAAATATTTGTGCCCTTACTTAAGCAGGATTTTTTTTGTACTCTTTTCATGCTTTTTTGTGAGTTGAAACAATCCCAAAAAAATTCTGGACCTTCTGGATGACTGAGTGTGTGTGTTTGGGAATGAATCATCACATTTACATGAAAAAAAAATATTTTGGTCAGAACAATGAAGACAAATATTTAACCACACCATATTCAAGGATCCACCACCGTCTTTTTAAGATATAGCACAGCATATCACAATATGTAGCAGCAGAGGTGGATTTAGTGATTCTGGGGCCCTAGACAAAAGACCGGAATGGGGCCCACTGGATGTATATTTTTATATTACCTCACTAATATAGAAAGGTGTGGCTTTATGTACCAAAAACAGTCATTATTAATTTCTACATGACCATTTTCCAACCTCTCTTTATTCCTTAGAATAAATCAGGCTTTTTTTACTGTGCCCTTAAAACTGATATATGTAAATGAGCTCTGTTCTGATTGGTTTCCCTGAACTGTGTCTCATTTAAAAAGCAGTGTGGTTTAAAACACACCATATAACTTCAGCGTGAATGGGCGGGGCTAATTTTAAATAATTTTATTAAGTGAAATTCTCTCACTATATTGGCAGATAATTGAACTTGTTTTAATACATATGCGAAAGTATCTGCCAATATACTAAAAATTAAAATAATAATAATAACGTCTACAAATAACAGCTATTTCTAAAATGTATACATATTTCAGAATAGGTTATTTAACATCAAGATGTACAGTACATCTCATTTTATTTTCATGGGACCCTTGGCTCATGGGTGCCCTAAGCAGCAACAGTCCTAGCGCAAAGACCACCCCTGTGCAGCAACAGCAGTGTAACATGGTATTTTGTGCATATTGTGCAGCCCTAGATGAAGTGAGTCCGAGTGGTGGCTGACAGTGCTGCACTCACATGCCTAAAGCAGCTGCGGACACTGGGCTCCACGTTGCTCCCTCCGAAGGCGGCAGCCTCACCCAGCTGGTGGGGGATTTGCATGGTGGTGTGCAGCAGCACAGCCAGCTGCCGTGGGTTACACACTCCAGCAGAGCCAGCCACCTGACTGAACAGGTCTGAGGAGAGCACTGTGAATCAGGACTATTAGTGATATTTGACTGCAATCACAGCCTATTACTCCTGAGGCCATGTGAGTAAGAGCTCAGAGGAAACAAATTAAGGCAACTTAATTCTCTAATATGTCAAACATCTCTCAGCCTCCAGTTAGGGACACCTTAATAACCTGAATGTGAAGCACCACAATCACTGAGGAAAACAAAATACTTGCATTTATACTTGTCCTCAAGGTGTCCTTTCGAAAGAGAAAGCAGTCCAATCTTCATGCTCAGGACTTGAACCTTCCCACTTCTGCCACTATCACACAGGAAAACAGAGGTGCTTAGATTAAAAGAGCATTGGCTGTAAATCTCATCTTAAACTTTTGGAATCAATGTGGGAAGCAACCATGTAATATCCTCATGAAAAGATTGCATCGAAAATGTTCTCTGGGGCAAAATCAAAAAGAATTCTTTCAGACTTGAAGAAATTAGCATATTTTAATATGTATAAGAATTGTGATTACAACCTAGAGCTCATCTTTATGAATTTTTGGGATACTTTAATAGTCACAGTCCAATATGTATTAAAGCGATAGCTCAGCAAAAAAATCTAATTTACACAAATTTCCCTTTACCATAAATGTAGTTGAATAGCCAAGACATGTTTGCTGAGCTTTGCTTCTTTAGTTTTGCACTGGAACTACAAGGCTAATGTGGCTAACAAATAATGGAAGCTTATGTAACCACCAGTTAGCACTGTGAAAACTGCAAATAGACTTGCGTACAGACAAAAGTAAAGAGAAAATTGTTTTTAGCATTGCAACATATCTTTGTGCATTTTTTCATATGACAGTATGTCGTTCAGGATCAGAAACCACATAAACAAGTCCTAAAGTCTATTATGTTTTATCATTTGGGATAGGGGAAAAACTGGACAGTACGACTAGTTAATATTAATAAAGTTGATAAACTTGCTGCTACTCTGTTCTAAATGAATGTCTTGCTAACCTGACATGGTTTGTTTTGATTGGACTGTTTTCTTTAGTTTTCGTTCCTTTTAAAGTACACCAAGGGGAACCTTATGAATTATTGTACATGTTAAACAGACACAAATGACATTTTCAGGAATCAAAATAGCTATTTATTTGCATTTTATGGATTTCAATCTACTGTTTCAAAACAATCTGTAGCACCCAATGAACGACATGCACAGCAGTTGCAACTGTCAGATCCTCGATACCAAGAGAAAGTGCACAAAATACAATTAAAAACTAAAAAAAGGATCATGGTATTAAGCTCATTATCAAACATAGTACTGTACAAAAGTCAGAGACCGTACTTCATTTATTTAAATGTTGAGGTCTGGACTCTGGAGTGGTCAGTCTATTGTTCTGAGAACTCCAGCAGCGTCTTTGTTTGATTTAATTTTTTTCTTTTTTATTTTTCTATTTTCTTTTCTAGTAAGTGCCTCTTGGCAGCTACACATCCTTTTAGACTCATAGTGTTGAGTTGTCTTCTCACAGCAGAAGGATGGACAGAAACACCTGTGGGTTTTTTCAGATCTAAGGCAAAGGTGGAGCTTGATTTTCTCCTCTCTCAAAGACGAAAGTACCGTTTATCTGATGGTCACAGTTTTGGGGGTCTACCAGGTTGTCAGGCGTCTCATGTTCTCTACATCTTTGAATCATTTTTGACACTCCAGTTTTAGTTTGCTTTGACTTTCTCCTTCCTTATGGATTATTTTATGTATAATCTCCTTGGGAATACCTGCTGAAAAAATAATAACTTGTGCCTAAATTCTTAATGCAAACTAAATAAAGTAAGGAAAATAAAGGAAGGGTGCTTTTGCACAGTGCTGTATATTGCTAAAATATTGCCAAAACTGAAAAAAAAAATCATAGTATGACCAGTATAGACAATCTATCACCTAGCCCTATTGTGCAGGGTTTTTTTTTCCCCAAACAACCACCATAAGTCCTTCATCAAAACCCATACACACCTGTCATAGACATTTAGAAGCCAGTTGAGACACAGGTCCACACACAGGGGGATATTGATCAGATCTGGATACGCCTGCTGAAGTTCAGTGTAGATTGTGAATAAACAGGTTATGATGGCTGGAACCTCCAAAAGCCGTCCATTATGAGTTAGCCGATGTTGGTCAAAGACACCCTGAGCCACGGCCAACTCCAAAAGGTCCACTGAAAGAGACAGACGGTGTTCACTTACGATTTCATCTCCACTCATTCTTCGGCCCACAAGGGACACATCTTTAATGAAATCCATTCAGTGCATATTAATGGAAAGCAGCAGAGCATAACTCATTTGCTGGCGTGTAATGAAAGTTCCAAACTCCAAAGGCTGGGGAAAAATTACACTAATTTCCTATCCAGACTCATCAGATTTGCAACCAATTATATGTTCCATCAGCTTCTTCCCAACCCTGTAAGGTCCATTACTACAAACATTCGCCTTCCAACTCACTTGACAGAACACCATTTCTGTACAGCTTGTGCTACACTAATGTTGTCATTAGTTGCATTTTGGCCCCAAAGCACTTTACACCCCTACTGTGACTGAGAGATACTTACAGATGGTGTTCAATAAAGACCCCCAGTACACGCAAATAAAACGGCCTACGGAAAGCTGCCTTCATCTTCTACATTAATCACTCTACTGTATGAGCTTTGTAGAACACCTTCATAGGGTTAGCATTCAGATGAGTGATCAGAAGCAGACAGCTGCAGAAAGTGAGGAGGCACTCACAGCACAGGGCTTTCTGCACTCGGCGGCCCTTCATAGCTGTGCGGTAGGCAGAAAAGCGGACGTGTCCCAGTTCAGCTGCAGGGAAAAGGGGAAAATGTTCTTACTACATACAAAACACACAGCCGTCTCCCACTTAGCGGGGCATTCTCTTACATGTCAATAGTCCAATAGTGCAAATTGTCCACTTTTTGTAGAATGACCCACACACTATGTTTCTCAGTGTCATCTAGAGAAATTAGGGCTGGAACTCACCCAGTGACTGAAAAAGCTGAGTCATTTGTGGATGATCCCATGACGTAGTCTGCCACTCATGACTGAAAGTTCAGGGTATTTAACAAATCCAGTGCAAACAAAAACCAAAAATAACAGTGCATTAGCAATGCTGCATGATTTGACTGTAGTATGTTAAGAGATAAAGAATGAGACTGAGGACACAGTGTGATTAGAAAGGTTAAGGTATGAAAAATAAAACTCACTTGATGTAGTAAGGAACACCGTTATGAAAAACTGCCCTCTGCCACGGAGACTGAACAGAGGCTGTTGAGGTGACATGAACTTCTTTATATCTTGTGGTGTAGCTGTATCTTTAACTTACTATTGTACTTTGCAGCACTACTGCTGCGATTAAGATGAGAATAATGCAAAATAGCCTGAGCACCAACAGGATATAATAAATGCTCATGTTTTCCGTTCCCACTTTACCAGATAAGAAGTCCTGGGAGAATGGTCTGTTATCATCTCGAGCATCTAGGAGCTGTCTGTGCTGATTCATCATTGCCCCCTGCGAAGAATTGATAAAAGGCAACAGAGCAATCTCGGCGCTTTAAGGCTTTGACTGTGCAACATAACAAAGGAACAGAGAAGTCTTAAATCTCACAGCGCTTTCAAGTCACAGAGTGCCATAATGCAGTGATTGAAAGTCCAAAATAGACAACTACAGTGGGGATACAGCATCAACCTGGATCCCTGAGAAACAACAATGCTTTGAAGGTTCTTTTATCTAAGGAGAGGCGCAGTACAAGGAGCAGAGCATGGAATAATGAAGACTGTATGCTCTGGAAAAGAAGGACCAGTTTCAGTTGGTAAAGTCCTGAAATGACCAGACAAGATTATCATTTAGATTCTCTGAAGAGTCTACTGAGAAACACGATGGATCTACTGCACTTATCGCTGCCCGCTGGCTTCAACAGACACGTTTCATCAGACATTTAGTGATGCAACCTTTTTTGTTCTTAATAGTAGTGTTGTACACTCTTAAAAACGATGGTTCTTCAAGGGTTCTTCGGTAAAGAAAATAGTTCTATAAATAACCATGAACACTCAAAGAACCTTTTGCTTTTGATTGAAGTGTTCTTTGCATCATGAAAGAGTTCTTCAGATTGATGGAGAATGTGCTGTAGATGGTTCTATATAGAACCTTTCTAAAAAGGGTTCTATATAGCACCCAAACAGGTTCTTCTGTTGTTACACGCTTGACATCGTAACAATGGAAGAACTCATTTGGGTGCTATATAGAACCCTTTTCAAAAAGGTTCTACATTGAACCATCTACAGCACATTCTGAAGAACCCTGTCATGATGCAAAGAACCCTTTAATCATGCATAGGGTTTTTTGAGTGTTCATGGTTCTATTTAAACATTTTCTTAGACATTAAACATTTGGCAGCTACTGAGTGCTGGTTGTCAAGCTGAAGAGAGGAAAGCTCCAAAAAGTTCTGGCTCAGTTCGACAGGTTTAGATACATATTATAAAAAAACAAAAACTTCAGTTCCACTACAGCCCGCTGGGGCTCTGCAGCCACCAGGTTGAAAACAACTTTTGTTTAAATAAGATCTGTTGGTTAGAATCTAATTGATCTTTTTCAGGATAGATTAACTGAGTATTATTTGTTTGTTGATGTTCATTGGTTTGAAAATTCAAACATCCCTTGAGGGCAGATTGGAATGTTATCATTACTATGTTTTCATTTTAGAATAAAAATGGATGTATTTTAGTTTATGTACACTTGACTTAAGCTGGTGATTTTGAATAAGCTTTAGAGAAGAACGACAGAGAATAACTTCATCACCGCTTCCAGTTACAACACGAAGTTTGACTAAGACTATAATAACAATAATTACTAATGTTTTTGGCTACATATTATTTAATTATATGTATTACATTACATGACTCAGACTCGACTACTAAAAGACTTGAGGTTGACTCGGACTCATGTGTTCCAGTCCTAGTTTTGACTCCGACACTACTTAATAGTGTTATGATGAAATCCCCAGACACTCTGAAAATTCCTTTTGGTTACAGGTTTTCGTTTAAGTCTTGCATTGTTTTCGAAATGGACAAATACAGTTTTTTGTCTGAGAGCTTTTTGTCTGACAAACAATACAAGAATGTCACGCTGAAAGCAGAAGCTTAATTATCAATGTCCTCCATCGGCCCAGATCAATAAAGAAGGTCAGTATTGTGGTCCAGCGGATCCCATGTGTGTGTGTAGTCACATACTCATACTCATCAAAAGGCAGGACAAGGACACAAACTGCAAACAAAGCAAGGGGTGATGTGAGTGCTATTATTTTAACTTTAAAAACAATCAATTCTGCCATACTGAAATATGAATGCAATGAAAATGTCAATTTGGTGTACCTTAATGTCCGGCTGACTTATTGTCCATGCAGCCCATGTTAACGTCTGAATCACTGCTATGTGGACAAGCAGAATTATTTTACATGACATTTGGTTGGCAGGCCACCGTGTACTGCTGATTTGGCATTTAGACGTTTGATTTTCTACTATACTTGCTTGTGACCTTTCACTAGCAAATTCATATTTGCAGCATCATTCAGCTTTGAGTGATGGAGCCCCGCAGAGTCTCTCACCTCTGAGACGTTTATTTGTGTACCGAGGCTGTGAGGTGGTGCTGATGAAACCGGAGTCAGCTGAATGTCAGGAGGTGGAACCAAACTGGCGTTGACATCCGTCGCTCTCAGGTGGTGTCCTACTGTCCCATCAATAAAGCTCTGGTGAACAAACAATAAGGGATGGGTGATATGCCAAAAACGTAATATTGAAGACATCTTCATGATACACAATACTAGGGTTGTATCAATACAACTTAGGGTATCATGTATTGAGTCAATGTATCATCACTAACATATGAGCTTGTGGCTAACATATTAGCTTGTGGGTACAGCAATAGATTGGGGCACTATTAAGAACAACTTTGTATTTGTTTATTTCAAACACTGTACTTTTGCAATGTTGAATGCTCTACTAAACTGAAAATTGAAACATAACATAATAATGCAAGACACATTTTCAGCCACTGCTCTTGTATCGAAAAATGCTTAATGCGTTGCTGCCATCAAGTTCTAAATGAGTTAATATTTTTCATGAAATGGTAAAATGTCTCGCTTTCAACATCTGATATGTGTTCTATGTTCTATTGTGAATGAAATATGGGTCTATGAGATTTGCAAATCATCACATTCTGTTTTTATTTACATTTATTTACATTTTACACAGCGACCCAACTTATTTGGGATTGGGGTTGTATTTATTTATGTATTTATTTATTTATCATATCATATGATATATATCATATGATATGATATATATTGTCATATTACCCACCCTTAGATATATAGTCGTACACAAAAGTTTTGCTGCCTCTGGTCAACTGATATGCTTTGTTGATTTATATGCTTATGCACATTTTAATGTACAATTACTGTTTCTTTGCAGAATTTAACAAAACATAAGATGTAGCTGGTGCAAGAGTCATGGCACATTTTAGACTGTATATTTTATTTGTTTCTTGGCTGAGGTTGTGTATGTTTGCATACAACTGTAAGTTAAGGCATGTAGTACATATTCTCCACAGTCAGCCCAGCCACTTAGAAGGCTTATTTAAGGCAGGTTTGTTTTTAACCTGGTCTGTTTGAGGCCATTTAAAAATACTTATATAATAAAGTTTAGAAAATAAACACCCTGCACCCACACACCTTATCCAGCATACAGTTGACCAAAGTGCGTCCATCTGGGTGCCAGCCTTGCCCATTACTATCCATCTCTGTCAAGCTTAACTCCTCTTGATGCATGGAGTCCTGGAGCTTCCCCAGTGCCCAGCTGACCTGCTGCTGCCAACTGGCCGCATGAGCACGGAACTGTTCCCAGTGCTGTTGGACCTCCACTGCCTGATCCTGCATGACTCGGGCCAGCCACATTATCCTCTCTGGCACAGCATGCCCTGGGTTTGAGTGACAATTCAAAGTTCAGAGAAGATCCAGTTAAGAGGAGATGACCCATACCAGAGAACACTGAATGAAAGGTACAAATGCACGTTAGTAGTTACACGAATTCAAAGTCCATGTGTCTGGAAATAATCTGTGAAGTTGGAAACCTTTAAAGTAGGACAATCACTGTCAATCTGATACTTGAATGAAAGTAATGTTCCGTTTCTCTTTCATCTCATCTTCCTTTTCTCCTTTTAAATTTTTTGTCATTTGTACTGATGTATCACTAGTGCAATCTCTAGAGCTAAATTACTCAGACTGAACCTCCTCAATATCTCAGGCGATTTGAGGCAAGAAGCATAATAAATCTAATCTCATCCTGCCTGCATGTCCCTGGCCAACCTTAGACTCGTCACAAAGGCTGGAATATACACTGCCGGTCAAAAGTTTAGGGACACATTGTCTTCTTTTGAATTGATTTTCATGGCTCCTTTTCAATAGTCCAAAAAAATACTTGCAGAGGTTTTGTTAACACAAAACAGCTATTTGCTAATCCTTTGGCTATGTTTAACCATCCTCAGCTTCATGTCGACACTTCAAGTGTCTTCCTTGGTATGAAGAACAAGTTTTGCCTAAATGTTTTGACAGAATTTCCCCAAACTATTAATTGTTAAATCTGTTATTCCTGAAAATCTTTTGGTTCAAAGGTGGTGAGTGAGTGAGTGAGTGAGTGAGTGAGTGAGTGAGTGAGTGAGTGAGTGAATGAATGAGTGAAATCATTAATTAGTTATTCAGTTAGTTGCAAGCCAGGTCATGAGGTGCTTTGCATCTGAAAACACACTGAAAAGCTAAGAGTCCTCAAACATTTGATAAACGTTGTACAACTTAAACGTCACACATGGACATATATGAGGTTCAGTTCTATGAGGTTTGAAACAACTTTCATGTGAGACGAACCTGAACAGTTCATAAGCAAGTGTAAGAAATTCAAGATCCAAAACTTCCAAAACGACATGTTTAACAAATTCACAGCACAGAAGGACAATGGGAAGATACGGTCATGAATTTCAGATCAATAATTCTTCTGAAGAGGACCTCATATGACACCTCTCTCCAGGCCAGTACCTGCCTATGTGCTGCTTGCATAATAATGTGATCTATCCTCTGTAAGCAGTTATAAATCCAGCTGAGATTTACACCTATCCCTTTCATCACTTTCTCACTCAGGGTCCTATCAGCTTTACTGTCTCCACTCAGCCATAAAAGTGATATATATATTTCAACTCTCAACGATGCCATTGGCTTGCAATAAGAGACAAATCCAGAAAAGGAAAATGCAGTATAAAAAGCAGTAAGTGACAGGTGCAAGCCAATGATTTACCTTAAAAAGATAAAAGATATGTTTTTCACTGGGTAACATAAAATGTTGACAGCTATTAAGGTTGCATCGCAGTTGCTGAGCGACAGCCGAAATGGCGAAATTGTAGAAGAACACTGAGTAAAAACCACCTCTCCAGCTGTTATAAGAAACAATTTTGGGGGTATTTGAGGGTATGGGGAGGTGTCCTCTGACCTGCTGCTGATTCCATGCTGACTTCACTCAGAGAATCCACAGGCTGTAGAGCCAAAGACAAGCACACCTGCTTCAGTGTGTGGTCAAAATCCTGTCTTCTACTGGTCAGCTCGCTCTGCAGAGCCTGTGTCAAACAATAAATTGGTATACTGCATTATAGAATAAGGGTGGATCCAGCTCCCTCAGAGCTGGACCCACTGACCTTGAAGAGTACATGAGACAATTCTAAGAAATTGAACTATATTCAGAATTGAACTTTTAAGTAATTCACAAAACAGGTATTCTGGCGCTTTTTAAATAAAACTGGAGTAGATCTGTTGTGGGTTATTTGCTCTTAGAGGACACATAAACATCTTGGTCATAACACCAAACAATGTTTGTAATTAATATATAATGTAACAGTACTACGCGAAAGTCAGAAATAACCTTTCATTTATTCAATTTTCAGCCAAAACTACCATTTACTACAAGTTAGTGATTTTTCATGAGACATTTCTGAGGAGACTAGATATAAGAAAATCCATTTGCATAAAGAAGGGGAAATTCAAAGTAAAATTCCAAATGAAAGTTTAAAAGAAAATGATCAAAAGATACAGAGAAGATGTGACTCTAACAATGGTGCAAGACCTGGTAGACCACCAGCACTGTCACCATCAGATAAACCTTTCATCTTTGAGAGAGAGGAAAAAAATCAAACTCCATTCTCGCTTCAGATCCGAAAAAATCCACAGGTGTTTCTGTCCATCCTTCCACTGTGAGAAGACAACTCAACACAATGAGTCTGAAAGGATGTGTAGCTGTCTAGAAACCCTCGCTGAGTAAAAGAAATGGATAAAAAAGAAGAACTTTTGCAAATCAAGCAAAGAAGCCTCTTGTGTTCTCAGAACAATTGACTGACCACCCCAGAGTCCAGACCTCAACATCACTAAACGTGTTTGAATTTACTTTGGAAGTGTGGAAAAATATCCCTGCAGATTTCTTTGAAAAACTAAAAGCAATTTTTCTGAAAAGAAGGCTTTGGGAGCTGTAATTAAGACAAAGAGTGGACACACTAAAAATACTAAATAATGAAAAACATGATATTATATTTTGTTATTGAGGCTTCTGTGTAACTTTCTGTTAAATAAGTTTTCTGCTTTTTTCTTGATGCTAAAAAAGGAGTAACTTGTACTTAGTGGCCATTTTGGCTTGAAATTAAATAAATTAAGAGTGATCTCTGGCTTTAGTACAGGACTGTATTTTCTCAGTTTAGTTGAAAGTCACCTTGAGCACCCACTCTTTCAAGCAATGAGAAATTTAATTTTCAATATTAGTAGCAAAGCTCTTGTATCATTCACTGTGTGTTCTCTACTGATAAAGCCAGATGGCCGATAATATCGCAGTTTGACGTGGCTATTTTTAACCTTTAGTATCATTACACTAAATCACTTCATAAAGATGGCTCACTGGCTGCAAGCTGGGACTGCAGATGTGATTGGATTGAAAGTCTGAAGGACAGATTTTGGTTTATGTCAAAGCAATTAATTAACAAAATAGAGTTGAACTGCATTTTTGCTTTGCAATATATCACTAATTTATACTGCCACTGAAATCATGATCATAAATCAGTGAGCAAAGCATTAAGCACACAGCACCTGATGTGGAATTAGCCAAACAAAAATTACAAACATAGCATAACATGGGTTTTGTTAGCTTCTTGTTTATTGAACTGGAAACGTAGAGTCTTACTAACAGAGAATCCCAAATATGGATCTGCTTTATGAACAGTAACACTGATCTGAGAAAGGCAGAACATCAAGATAAAACCAAGATATGAGAAACAAAAGTGGGGCTAAAACCTTCCAAGGAAAAATTCTGTTTTGAGCTTTATTAAAGCGTATGTTTAAAGTTTTATTCCTACTATCATATGATGAGGTAAAGATTACGTCTCTGTATCTATCCCTATTGATGAAAATAGATTGTAACTGACCATACAGTAGCCTTGTTGCTGCAGTAAAGTATGAACATCCTCGCCAATGGGACTTTGGCTGGTCAGCTCCTCATCCTTCATCTTCACCCAGAACCAGAGCTCCTCCAGCAGAGCTATCAGCCCAGCCCACCTCTCACTGTGAAGCTCCACACGCTCCCTGATGGAACAAAACATCTCTTTATGCTGCATGATCCCCAGAGCTTACAGTGTTCATCTATGTCTAGCTAATGAGAAGCCGTTTCAGCTGTTATACCACAATTTCTTAATGTCAGAAATTCAGAAAGTTGAATATACTAGTAAAAACTAAATCTGACATGCGAGCATTTCACATTTCAACCTTTACTGCTAGGAATAGGAATTTTATTAAGCAATCTGTTTTATTAAGTATTCGATTACCACTAGTAAGAACCCTTAAACTGGCTTTTCCCATTTCATTTTAAAGCAAGAAACAATTTGTACCAGCATTACTTAATTTTTAATAAGTGCTAATTCAGTTTTTACCACTAAAAAAACATGAAAAACTGACATTTAAACTTACAGACTTAAAAAATATGATTATTTAGTAACCATGGTTCTTTAGTAAAGGCAATGGTTCTATGTAGAACCATGAGTTCTAAATAGAACCATTAAATGGTCATGCTTAAAGGATTCTTTGCATGGTGAAATGGTTCTAAGATAAGATAAGATAAGATAAGATAAGATAATCCTTTATTGGTCCCACAATGGGGAATTTCACAGCACTACATCAGCAAAGTGATAGCAAGGCACACAAAAAAAGAAGTAACAATTACTTAGAATTACTTAACAAGGTTACGGTTTGTTACTTATTACTGTATAGACCATATATATAATACTAAAGATATAAACATTTGATAAAAATATAAACTTTAACCTTCACATAAACTCTATTCACAAATATTAACAAAATATAAACATTACGAATAAAAAAGCAAAAAAAATCTTTACACAGTAAGGATATTTTACCCGAATTGCACATGGAATATTGATTATATTGCACATGGGAATTGTGATGAATTAATTCCCATGTGCAATATAAGATTATATTATACGTTCTTTACATTGATGTATAGAAGCTTTTTGAAAATGGTTCTACATAGCACCAAAAAGTGTTCTTCAGTTGTTACAAGCTTCTATATAGAACCACATCCAACACATTCTCTATCAGTCTTAAGAATGATTTCACCATGCAAGAAAAACATTTAAGCTTGAAATGGTTCTACATTGAATCTGTGGTTCTAAATAGAACCATTGCCTTTACTAAAGAACAATTTTTGTATTTGTGTAGAATTGTTACTTGTCACTTGAAATTAAACTTGTCACTTATAATTAAATTGTCACTTAAAATTAAACTGAGCAATTGTAGCATATGGCAAATTTGTCAAAATGTAGAGAGGAAATGTAGAGTTATTCATTTCAAACGTATGGGTCACTAGTATAAAGTTTCCAACCGGAATTCATTTAGCTTGATGGGATTTTGCCAACATTCTGTAAAGTTGCTCTGAAGGAACGCATTTGTGGACCAAGCACCAATATAGGTCCGAGAGTGAGGTGCAGCATGCTTGGACGTGTCTGCACATGCACAGTACCTGTTGGGAAAGGCAGTGGTCCGACAGTTTTGGTCCATATTCTCATCATGGCCGATTGCCATGACAGCCTGTGATTGGTCTCTGGAGCCCGCTCTGTAGGGATCACTGTGGGCATCAATCTCCGCCTGAATATCCTAAAGACAGAACGCAGAAACAAGGACAAGCAGAATGTAAAATGACATCAATTCATACAAGCTCAGTGGTCTCTGATTATGTGAACTTACCCTGATCAGTGCTGTCAATGTCTAGGACTGAAGCCAAAGCACACAGTCTGAATAGCCGGCTGATGAAAATGTTAGAGGCGAGAAAGGCACAGAAGTACATTCTATAGAGATGGAAATTTCAACTTTTTATCAGGCCATACCACATAAATATGTAAATGATTGGCTCCCTATGTGCTCAGTGTAACAGAACTATTTTACCCATTTCTACATCAAACACTTTCATTTCTTCGCTAAAGTGCAATTCATTATAATACAAAGTGTAAGATTCTCATTTATTCAAACTTGCTGCTGCTACTAAATGGCAACACCATTGCTTTTCATCATGGCTCATTGCCTTGATGTAAGGACACATGAATAGTGCCACAGGTCCATTGAGTCAAAGCCCCTTCTGCAGTTTAAATTGAAAAGATCTGGTTGAAGGATTTTTTTTCTGTTTGAACTTTTAAGATGTAAGCATGTGGAATGACCAAGTCCACCTACATCAAAAATCCAACCTTGCCCAAGTTTGACAGCAGCCATTAGTATTTCAGAAATATTTAAATCCTTAAAAGACATGGAGCTCTAACTATTGTGTTGCCCAGCATCATTCTGACTAGCCACACTGTGGCATTTTCCTTTACAATAAAAGACCCTGAATGAATCAAACAAGTCTGCAGCCTCATTTTATATGCCTGATTTATAATGACACATTCTCAGTAAAACCTCAGACTTTTTTTCTATCAGCACCAACTCATTAGGTGGTGAGAGGAATGGCCTCTCTCTCTCTCTCCCTCTCTCTCCCTCTCTCTCTCTCTCTCTCTCTCTCTCTTATCATTTACAATGGCTAATATGAGACCGGACAATGATATACAGCCTCAGCAGAAGCCTTCTCACACATACTTTCTAAATCTCTGAGGGAGAGAGATGATCCTCCAGCCACACATACTTGACCAGAGACAACCCATACTGTCTGTGCTCTGTATAAGCTGAGCTAAGTCCATTAAACTGCCAATACAATCTTCCATTCATTGACATGAGTATATGGACAATGCACTTAATGCTGGGGAGGCTGAAGCTAATTTACCTGTGCCAGAATAGCCATCGTCTTTTAAGCTAATAAGGAAATGCAGTAAGAAGAACACTGCTGCTAAAAAATAAAAAAACTTTGTGGTCCATTATTGTCCTATCATAAAAATGAAAATATGCTATTTTCGATTTTCATGATATGCTACCAAAAGCACAAAACCCCTCCTGGACACAAAAGGTTTCTTATCTTGGCTCCTCAGATTTTGTAATCAAGACAAATTACAAGCAGTGGAGCGGCTTCTGCTTATTGTTAATCTATGAGAGTAATTACAGTCTTGTTGTTGCTGGAGGGCTAAATCATTAGGAGCCCGTTACAAGCATAATTAAGGTTATGAAATTAAAACTGTGTCATTCCTTCCAAACATGCATTCAGCAAGAAATACTGTGGGCACTGAGTTCGCCAGGCATAATCCATTTTGAAATAAAATTAGAACTTGATGTTCTAAGGTCTACACTGCTTAATTGTTTTTGAATTGGTGTCATAATTTCCTTGCATGGACATTAATCAGTTTACCTAAAAGTCATGACAAACACCGCACAGGAGAAATTACACAGCGGAAGGCAGTGAAGAATGTGCAGTTGACATTTATGGGCTGGCTTTCTTGCTTTTTATTTTTCGTTGAAGCTTGTACAGAGACAAATGAGATTGCTCAGCTTTGGCCTTTTTAAAACTACAATAGCCAGACATGTGGAATCATTGGATTAAACCAGTAGCATTGTAAAGCAAACTTCTACAACAGAAAGCAGAATGTGCAATGCACTATTATCTTCACATCATCTGCAGCTCACGGCTGCTGAATGGATTCATAATCATTACTGATTATTCAAGGTAATAACAGTAATTTACTACAGATATCTCAAAAAAAGGTTTAGAATATGTGCATGGGCATAATGCTTTATTCACCGGGTCTTTAATATCAAAATATGGGCACATTTTCTGTGTGACTAGATTATTCAGAAGACAATTTTCTCCATTTCTATCCAGGCAGATGATGAAAGGCTGATCAGATGGCTGAGGGGTGTCACTGCAGGCAGTTTTTCTTGCTGCTGGGCTAAAACGTATGACTTTCCCGGTTGGCATGCTTCCTTCCCAAAGAGTAATGAAAGCTCAGAGTCCGCAGCCACACTGACTGACAGCGTCACTAAACAGTTCAATGAGGATTTACATGCATGCACCGTTAAAAGCCAGGACTCTCTTTTGTTTTTGTTTCACTGTGCGGACTTGGCTTCTCTTCATCTGATTAAGAAATAAATTATACTGTATCATGTCATCAATACATCCACCACTGGAATGGAGCTCCTTGAGTAAATTGCTCTGTCACTATAAGGGCTGAATAAAACCATGATTTGCAGTAGAGCAGCTTTTTGCTAATTGTTTGTTCTTCAGCACAGATGCATTTTCAACCCTTCTACAGGTTAATGAAGAATACTTAAATAAATTAACGTTCCAAGCCAAGGGTCTCCCTGCTGCAAGTTACATGCACAGTCTTATGTAAAAGTTTGGGCACCTGTGGTCAAATGACATGTTTTGTTGATTTGTTCTAATCACAACTAAGACTACTTTTTTTTTTTGAAAATTCAATCAGATGTAAACAAAGTCATATAGAGTGGTTTGATGTGAAATGTTTCAATGTAGAGAAACTTACTCGAATTTCTTTACAGTGGTGGTGATAGGCACATCTTTAGAGTTTTTATGTTTAGTGTTGATAATGATAAACTAGTGGTAAATCTGAGTAAGTTTCTTTGTGTATTATTTTGCCATTCAGTGCCTCGCAGCATGAATGAATTTCAGAAATATGTTTTAGGCCAAAATCAATATTCAAAACTATTGTAAAACATTGTCACAGGCATCAGGTAACATATTCATGATCATTTCAAGTAATAGCTTTCTATGAGCTTTTAGAGGCATTGAACACTTTGGACGTCTGCTTCCTATCAAAACCACTGAGGCATGGTTTACCATCAAATCACTCTGAATGACTTTATCTTAATCCTTGAATTATCCAGAAAATGAAAAAAATTGGTGGAATTCCCCTGTAACACTGTACAGGGAAAACATAGTAAATTTATGCACATTGTAGTGCGCAATTTCTATTTATATGCTGAATTTAACACACTACAGGGCACAAGCCATGTTTTATGCTTTTGTTTTTCCAATATGTAAGATTCAGCAATAAAGAGTAATTGTGCATTAAAATTTGCAGAAGTGGTTTCCCTGTAAAAAATATGTCATCTTATTTTCACTTCGACAAAACATTTGTGGTTTTAAACTTTTGCATAACACTGTAACAAGAATTTAATAAACAAACCAAAACTCTAAGTTGTAACCTTGTACTTAGTGTGAAAAATGCTCAACAGGTTAGTCAAGCAAGTTTTTTTGTATCTGATCTTCAATATAACATCAAAAACTAATTAGTTATTTCTTTTATGTGATTGAAAATAGACATAGTATCCAATTATAATAAACAGTAAAGTGGTATATGTACATATATAAAGAAACTGTCCTACTGTCACCATGCATAGTAAATTATGCCCTGGATACAGCTTATATCTCAATTACATCCCAATCTTTCCTAAGCTCATATCTCAGAACACCAGCAGGCAATGCTTTCATTTAAATTAAACTAATATAGTTTAATGAAATTCATAAGCATTATGATTTTGTTAATCTCATTAAAGTTAATTCAAGTGAGATGAATGCATTTCATTTGCGTGAGAAACTCCAATAACAGTGCAATGAGAGTGTGTCATGTTTATGACAAATGATACACAAGAGGATTTCTTACAACTTAATGCCTTCATGTTACTGGAATCTAACTCACATCCCAGCTGGCTGTAACTCCCATAATGAGGCTGACTGTCCATAACTCTAAGAGGGGATAGCAGGGAAGGCAGTAATCAATTCTGGCTTTATTTCTCCAGCAGGTGTCTGCTAGCAGGGAGTTCCCATTATAGCTTTCAAAACTGCTATATCAAAGTCTCCAACTAGAACAACATGGCATAGAATGAAGGAGGGAAATCTTTAAGATATTATTTGTGATAATATGTCAGTTTTTAGATTTCACATGCATGCCAAGTACCTGGCCTATTTGAATTTGATCTAAAGAAAGTGTTCTTCAGCAACTTGAGATGACAATCAAAACACAACAAACTGTACAGAGACCATAGTAAGGCTTACTGCCTACACCATTAGATCAAAATAATAGATCATTCAAAATAAAGTCATCACACCTTACCTTACACAGTTTCTGATATCTTGGTGATGTGAAAGCAACCCTTTGGACTCTGTGCAGAAAGAACATCAATTTCTGTAATGAGGACCTCATCATAGCCATTATCCTCCAGCTGCTGGAACTTTGGAAGCTCCTCAGGATTCTCATCCTACAGATGGAAGAGCCACCCTGATCTCTCACAATGTGCAGTGAGTATGCAATCCCCAAAGTGTCTGTACTAGTCCACTTCCACGCCTCTGAACAGTCCATCTCTGGAGCTGAAGGTCATAGGTGAGTGTAAAAGGTGGCGGAGAGGCAGAATCCAAATCCAGAGCACAGACAAATGGAGAAATCCAGCTCAGCAGCAGTCTTCAGCCATGAACGCTTACTGTGTACAGAAGACCATTTAAAATTTAATGGAATACCATTACCACAAGAATCTGAGGAACGGATATGATGCCTCTATAGTGCAACAGCCGGTTCCCTTGTCAGCTAGTCTCTCTGCTTGAGGATGAAATGTGAATGAGGGAGAGACTGAGAAAGGGAGGGGTGAGGAAAGCACATGGCAAGGCACTCCAGACATCCAGCCTTATGAGAACTGTGTCCTCAACTTGCCCTTTCTGTCTAGTAATTGAGTTTAGTGGAGTCATCCTTACTGGAGTGATTGGGGACATTTAATGACCTGTATAAACTTCATTATTAACTTCATTACTCTGTGCTTACCCTCCAACACCACCCTCTAAACTTGTTTCTGTAAACGTCAGAGACTGTATTGTAGTGGCTGTCGTACTGCATGGCTTGTTGTGACAACTGGCAACTTTACAGTGTGCATACAGTGTACATTCAGAATATGCAAAAAGTGTATGGATATTATGCTATAATTAATTTGGCTACTGCGCTGAAACATTACACTTGCCTGACTGTTCATCTTCATTATAAGACAAGCACCAAAAACCTTTTTCCTATTTGACACTGTTAGAAGTGTAAAGCCTGGCCTCTAGTGGAAAAACAATGCAACACCATAGTTAGTGACAAACTGAAGACAAAATGAGATCTTTGTTAACTTGACAAACGCATTAAACATTATATAGATTTTGTCTTCAAGGCCGCAATGTTGTTGACACATGAGATAGCAATGGCATTGTGAATGAGAGTAAAAGAAAAAGTGAATGAGATCATTTATGGTCATTTCAGGTCAGACAAGTCACAGAGTATGGCTTCTTCTAAACTCTTCTAAGCTCTTTTCTGGACGCACCACTCCCCAGAGAAATAATGTTGCAAGTGTGTCAGTTAGGCTTTCTGTGTGTGAACTCTACTCATTAAGCTGCTTAGAATGTAGAGTTCCTTTCAAAGACGTCTGTACTCTGCTAACATCTCTAATATCTTGTGTGGAAATTATCCTATTGCAATGGAATAGAACTCTGAAGTCACGTAGTCATTCTGTAGTCACTGTCATGCCCACATTAGGAATTACAGGTCTAAGCTGGTTATCGCTATGGGAAAAATTAATGGCGGTTTCACCGTGGTGCCCTGTGGTACACAAAAATTGCTCAAACATTTTGTAGTATGCATTGTAGTGTGTTCAAGAAATTAATTGTTGTTATACAAGTTATTGACATGTTAATTCTGGGTTATTTGCTCTAGCATACATGTATTATTCATATTTTAACTGCTAAATGATCTCTAATCAATATTCCTATGTAAACTATTCAAGCAGGTGTGTAAGCCACATTTTGTAAAGACACTACAGAATGATGATTACTGTGGGCGGTTTCCACTCTAAGTGCCCTATATAGGTTCTATTTCTCAGGCTTAGAGTGCATTTCTGCCTATAACCTTTCCCATGGCATGATAACAGGGCATATTTTGCTTAAATATAGGCCTTTTACATCAATATGCCTTCACCCCTTAAGCAGAGAAAACACTTAACAAACCATTCAGAAACACTTACTAAGTTACCCTCAAAAATCACTGCTTATTACCAGGAGCGGGGTTGGAAGCCACAGGGGCATATGTCAAGTCAAGTCAAGAGGCTTTTATTGTCATTCCATCTATGTACAAGTACACAGTGGAGCGAAATTACGTTCCTCCAGGAACAGGGTCCAACAAGGAACAAAAAGTACAAAAGCACAAAATTACAAAGTGTGAACGTGCAGTCATAGTGTGCAAACAAAAAAAGCTAGAAACAATACAATAAATACAATAAATTAAACAGTCCATTGGATCGTACAACACCTGAACCATTGCTCGGCCATCCTGAGTCCTAGACAGCAGTACAAGAGGAGGACAAAATAATGGAAACACACAACAAAGACTTTTAATTTTAAAGTAACAAAATCACAATTATACAAGTGAATCCTATAGGCTGAATGCATTTAGGAGAGACACTCAGTTCTTCAATTCAAGTTTCGATCAGGGTCAAACAGCAAATACACATGCACCTTTCAGTGAAACTGTGAAGTTATTTCATTTGAGCAGTTCCATAAGCATGACAGCTTCACCATTATTCTCAACAGAAAAAGTGGAAAGAGGACAGTGGTGTTAACAAGATGTTTATTAATAAAACACGAACGTTAAATCAGCACCTCTATGACTCAGCAACAACTGCCTAAGTCATGAAAGCTGGATTCTGGCCCAGGCCATTGCAGACTCCACATAATCTCTATTGCCCCCCTGATAAATGGAAAAGGCATTACGAGACCGTCTTAATTTTCCTGTTGGTTGGAGAAAGCCGAAATATTCCTTTGAACCACAACGTCAGCTAATGTTTCTTTGTGATGCTACCAGTTTGTGTGAACTCTTTTCAGACCGCTCGATATTTTATTTGTTCCATTCATAAGTGATCGTGAATATAGTCCAGCCCGCTGTTCTTGTCCATGTAACATCACAGCCCTGATGAGAAAATATCATAACCGTAATGGTTAAAACCCAATGGTTTTGCTTTCTGATGGGAATTGGCTTAATTAGAGACCGCGATAGTGTCCTGTAGGCCACTTTTGGATCCCTTTAGGATGTCAACAACCTGATGAAAATCTCTGTTTACATGCACACTACAAGTAATCACGGCCATAATTACGCGCATGCGTAGAGTACCACCTATGCTCGGGCGTTCGGGGGTTCGTCGGAAGGTTGATGGCTAACCAGTCAATGCAGCTTCACCCCGTTTGGCTGCTTGTTCGTAAATACGCCCGTTACACAAGAAAGAAAGCATGTAGATCTGGAAAATACATATTCTCATGTTTCTTTGCTGTGTTAAAAAACGCATACATCTAATAGACGTGCGTCAGTTATATGTTTTCGCACATTCACTGCAAGTTTAGCATTTTTAACTCACGTAAAAGGGGAAAGGTCGCGTTATACGTCACATCTCGTAAACTCGTGCTTTACAGCCATTCATTCTGCGAACTTCTTTTAAGTCCTTTAAAGTTTGAAGAATAAACTTCGTCTGCAGACCAGCTTCTGGCTCTCACCATGATGAACGTTACAAACTTACGTTGCGACGCACTTAAAGTTTCCAATTGGGAGTGGTATCAGATACAGGCTCATTCAATTGGTTACAAATTATATTCGGAATAGCCTCGATCAGGTCAGTCTATTCCGATTGAGGTGTCTACATGGACGTATTCTATTCCGACTGAGCTGTGGTGGGATTATTAACAGATTGTCAGGCTGCACGTAAATGTGATTCAGTGACTTCAACCCGTCAGGAAAACACAAAATGCCATTAGTGAATACTGGACACCATAAGGAACCAAAAGAAACCTTCCATGATTTGTATGATTTTTTTTCAGCAGGGAGGTTTTTCAGGCTAAGTATCCCACTGAGGATTTACTTCTCATTATGACCTTACCAGAGCAGAAGAGTCTGAGAGACCTGTTATTGCAATGCCACTACAAGATGTTGACTGGGGGCGTTTTTCACTCGATCTGTCCTGCGTCTTCATTTATTCCTTTTGGCTTACATTGCAATTGTCCAGATACTGCTTATGACCTTTCCTCGGGCCCAGATTAAGTTAACTTTTTGCTGCTGTAGGCTATAGCTGTTTTGATCCTCATGCTCAGGGTGCAGATAGCGCCCCTTATCGAAACGTATGTCGAACTCCTCGTTTAAATATTCTCCTTAAAAGGCACGGTCCATTACCAGGAGTGGGGTTCGAACCCACGCAGACATACGTCCATTGGATCTTAAGTCCAACGCCTTAACCACTCGGCCATCCTGGTTCCTACGCTTAGCGTTTCAGTGCACATCGTCCAACAACACTTGGCTCATGAGCGTCAATCGCTCCAATACTTTTCCCAGTTGTCCACAGATAGTAGAGGACAAAATAATGGAAACACAAAAACAGACCTTTTACTCAACAAAATCACAGTTATAAAGCTGTACTAGTGACTCCTCTGGCTGAATTCCACCTAGCCGTACTTGGCAAATATAAAATAAGCCCGAAGCATCAAACACATTTTAAAAAACTGATTACATAGATGGCTGAAATATTGCAGTGCTCATCATTCACAAAAACTGCAAAGTTATGAAATTTGAAAAGAATGGCAAACAGACAAACTGCATCAGCATGGTTCTGCTTAAGAAATAAGATATTTGTCAGATGCAACAAAACCAAGGCCTCAAATGGAATCAGTATGTCATTAGCTTCAGAACGTTCAATTTTATGGCCTAGGTCAACACACTAGTCCCAAATCCACATAACCTGGTGTTAGGTACAAAAAAACATTCACCCCTGACCCCTGTCTTTCTGGTACCTGTTTTCCTGTTTTGTCTGGACTACTCCACAGGACCCACAATGTCTCATGGACATCACAATTAAGTTGAATGTTTTCTCTGGACTCTCCAGTCACCAGATCTAGCTAAACATCATTGAACATGATGGGTGAGTAGAGTGCTAAGTTCACTTACACCTCTTTCACACCTGAATTGGAGACTGTTTCTCTTTAATTAGAATAGACCATTATTCCACTGTGCACTCAGGACTTGTATGACAGCATTTAAACTTGTTTAAAGGCAAGCTTCTTATTAGCTACTTATGCTTAGAGGGTTCAGTTTGACAAAAGTATAGCTCTGATTTAGTGCCCTCCAAATTAACAACACACTTAGTCCTGGGAACCTTGTTACATTATGAACATTTTTATAGAAAAATCTGACTGCTTCTGCTAGAAGGCTTAAACTAGGTAAGAAATAGATCTTCCAGGAAGACAAGGACCCAAAGCACCCCCCGATATGCAGAAATATCTCACTTGACTATAGAGTCAAGTTTATACAATGGCCCTTACAATCTCATGATTTAACAAGCAGTTAACATCTGTGAGACGAGCTGAAGTGAGAACTTTAGGGTTATTAGAAAACGTTTCAGTTCCATTTTTTGTCCTGTAAGTTGAAACAGACACCACATATATAACATGTGGTTGTTTGAGCATTTCGTACTTTGTAAGGTCTCTGTATGACCTTAGCCATTGTCATGCAATTTCTGTACTTTTTGCTGGTTTGTGTAACTATCACCATAATTTATACTCATTCTACTGTACAGGTTGTCACAACAGGCCATACAAGCATTTAAAATTAATATTCTGCTAATTAGAAAGGAGGCTTGTATTAGATCAAACGCAACAAAAAAGTATTTAGATATAAATTGTGTCCTGTGTTAACCTGAAATAGAGACATGATTATAGTGCGTTTCCCACATGCAGTGTACAATGCAATATGCTTGGTCAGTGTGTCATCTTAATGCCAAATGTGGCAGTATCAGTATAAGGTCCAATAACTATGCTGTAGCCACACCCAAAACAAAGGAGAAGTACACAGAGTATTTATATTTATGCAGACTAACTCAAGATATGTATTTCTAGGGGTGAGCGATACACAATATGTCCCACAATACAGAATACAGTAGTAATTTTCACAATATGTATCACAATATTTAGTTTTTTGAGATTGGATAAGATGGAACAGACAGAATGCACCAGCACTGCCACATTAAAAAAACACTATCAGAAAGTATGAATACAGTGCTCTTTATTCAACATTTCACATACTGTGCTGAACTAAATTAAAATAATTATGCTCTCTTTGTAATGAAACATGCAGCTGATCAGCGCTCTGTAAGTATTGACGATAACCGAGATATGCAGAGTAAAGCATATTGTGGTGTATTTCGATGTTATTTAACAGAATACGATAAAATACTGTCATATTATCCACTCTATGTATTACTTATTGTATTAGCAGTTAGGAATTTATTGGGAAAATATTTGTATAGTGCATTTTTCAGGATCTGCTACAGCTACCATTGCTGATGTAAGACTGTAAAGTACTGCATTCTCCTCTACTATCAGTTATGTAACAGAAACTAGAATAGAGAAGTTAAAAGAAACCAGTAAAAGTAACTTCTTCCAAGACATAACACTAAAACTACAAAGTAAAATTATTTATTAAATTAATGATAACAGTGAATATTAACAACAGGTATTATTAATTGGCTGCACAATGTGCCCACTTGACATAAGACATAAAGCTTTCTTGCTCTGCAGACATAATACCCTTTAGATACTTTTAAAATACACGGACACAAGTATGAATACTTTTTTTTACATTACTACAATTCATGAGAACTGTTCACTGTTCAACAACTCATCTCCACATGCACCAAATAAATGTTCTCTAACATCTACCCAGCACAAACAGTGACAGAACTGTATGAAGATAATATGCACTGCTATTTTTGTGGTTAACAACACAGTGAGCTTGGTCACACCTATCACGCTCAGGCCACTGGCCTACAGCACTCTCTATATGCCAAGCATGAGGAAGTAAATCAAAATGCAAGAAAGAGGTGAAAGAGGTTAAATGTGCCTGCCTGTTAATCATGGGACCCTCATGCAACAACAGCACGCTGCTTTGCATCCGAGTGATCAACCGCACAGTTAACTTTATTGTTCTTTAAAGCCACTATGCCTTTAGTAAACAGGCCTATTATTGTGAAAGGCATGATTGTGAAAGGGTGAGACATGGGCGTGCATTAACGCATGTTATTCATCACTTATTGCAACACGGGAAACAGCAGCAGAAGAGCTGTCTGCATGGGTTTTTCTTCTTGTATTTCACAGCTTTCTTTATCTCTGTAGTAGCTCTGCCTACAAATTCCTGTGTCGCACACACATTGGCCTCAATGTTGTCCACCATAGCCCCTTGCTGCTCTACTAGCAGAGCCAGCTGGAAAAAGAGATCGTGAATGTCCCGTATGCGGCTCTCCAGTTCCAGAAGCTCCTTGTGACGGTTCTCAATCTCATTGAGCGCTGAGCGGAATGTTCTTCCATCTGTGACCAGGTCATCAGAGAACACGTTCCACTTCCCAGTCTCAATCATCTCTTCAATCTGGTCCCCAGTCACCTCCTTGCCCATGATCTCCGCCTGCCTCTGGATGCGCATCTTGCAGCTTTCCTTCTGTGCCATCTCAGCCTCATTATATTCAGACATAGCCTCATGGAAGGCGCTGGTCAAAGAAATGTACTGGGAGCGAGCCATGCGGACCACCGCAGAATGAGCTCCATGTTTTTCCTCCAGATTTTTGCACTGCGCATCCATCTGCTGTAGCTTCGCATACAGCTTCTCTCCTTCGGCTTTGATGTTGCGTGCAATGGCATTAGAGTCACGTTTGATGCTGCTGATGCGTCGGACGGAGGTGAGGAAACGAGTGTTCTGCTTGCCCAGCCTCTTCACCTCCATCCTGAGGTGAGCTATTTTTTTGTGCATCGACTGGACCTCCCTGAACACGTCGTCCATGACGTCCTCACCCTCGAACACCACCGCATGCTGCTCCAGCTCGCCATTGTCTATGTTCTCTCCATTTTCTGCTGAAAGATGCTCTTCCTGCGAGAGTTTGGTTTGAACATCACTAAGGTCACACAGTCTGTCCTTCATATTTCTCCTAGAAGATAACAAAAGGACAAAATTAGTTTGAAATCTGACTTGATTTCACAGGTTGTGGCTCAGGGTTTGCTGAGACACATACCCAGATCATGTTAAACCTCAGTGATGCTGAGAGATGACATATTCCAATGCAACCAGCTACAGATTCTTGTGACTTTTGAATTGAGAACATAGGCCTCTTGACATTATTCCTGCGTAGGAGTAGAGTTTTTGTTCAGTCACCAAAACCCCCTTCTTGTGAAACCCCTTGCATTATAAAGCCATGCCAGTACTATTGTGTGACAGTTATGACTTGTATTTTTTTCCGAGTGATGGAAATCATGCACAAATCATGATGCTTACTTCCTATAAGACCAAGTATAACCAAACAGAGAACCACCGGGTGGGGACTTCCCTTTACTTAGTAACAAGGACACCAGTAAAAAAAGTAATATGCTCAAATCTGTATTTGAATCTCTACAGAAATCCTTCAATATTAGTGGATAAAAGGAACTAAATATAAAACTGTGTAATCATGGGGTCTGTTTGGTTAAAGCAGAAGTGAGATATTTGAGTGAGGTATATATACAATGTCAGTTAAATACACCTCTGTACAACGGCATCTACACTTTGACATTAACTTTGACAAGCAGCCCATATTTAAGCTCAGTCACTAAAAACAGAGAAGATGGCTTCCACATGAATCAAACATGTTGTCGTTGAGCAGGTTTCACAGTCTAATTAGCCCTTACATACTGCTAACTCGGTAAACACGACAAGCATCAAACTTCATGGTCGAGAACATCTCATTTCTTGTGTTTTCTCTGACCACCTGCCAGCGACTCAAAGCTTTAGATGCAACCACTAAAAATTTAAATGAAATAAGGTACAAACCCAAAGAAACCTGACGCTGTAAAACTGTAATAAAGAACTCTTACCTTAACAGAACAGAACACCTTAAAGAACAGCTTACCTTATTTCATGATCTGTCGGCTATCCAGAATTTGTTGGTTTAAAACACAACTGAACAAAGCTTTTAAACTTGCTCTTCCTTCATCTCACATCGTTGCAGGAAACAGCAGAGAAGCGACTTAGTGGGAGTTTCCGAAAGTAGCAGTGGTCGAGCTTTCTACACTCAGCCTCGATATGGCTGAGCTCATCGAGACCAGACTTTGCTCAGCATTACAACAAACTCTGAGCTCTGACTGAGGGAAATGTAAAGGCGGACTAAACGTCGTGATCATCTGTGGTCACAGAAGGGTAAGTCGTCGGTGAGGTAATAATGGAACCGCACTAGTTAGCCAAGCAGGCGCTTTCCTAAAGCACAAAGATTTAAAATGTTGAATCTTTTGAATTCTGTACCTGCCCATGCCAGGTTGCCAGATCCCGCCAGCAATATCCCATACTATCAATTAGATTTATGTTCATCTGAGTCAACTTTTGGAATGAACTGTAGTCATTATATGTACTCTCTAATTAATCCAATACCAGTGTGGTTTAGTAAAATTTAATTAAAAAAGCACCTGATACATATGGTTAGAGGAATGTGTAGTTGATCCAGTGGCCTGATTTTGCCATAATGATATACAGAGGGAGATATAGAGTTTTATTAGATTTTATTAGATAGACAGGGGGTCCAAAAGAGACCACTTTGACCACATGACTCTTTTTGCTTTTAAACCTGGAAATATACAACATAAACAAAAGTGTGAAATTGACCATGTTGGGGCCTTTGCACAAAAAAGGTCAGATTTTGACTGCAGTGCTGTGAATGATCTACCACCCAAATAATACCTGCTCAGCTGTGGTCCTGAGAGAGTTCTCATCACTAAGCAGGATAAAGAAAGCCCAATACATTATGCAGAGAAACAGATGAACTACAATCTGTAATTGTAGAACTACAAAGTGCACCAGTATGTTAGGTGGAGCTCATAAAATGGACAATGAGTATAGATACAATATAGGTGTACCTAATAATGTGGCCAGTGAGTGTACAATACTGTACAAAAATCTGAGCCAAGAAAATTGTTTATTTATCTTGACAGTATGTGTGTTATTGCCAAAAATCAAAAATGCTGTGTAACGGAAGTATAAGTACAAATAAACAAAAAATATAATACAATGTAACAAGAACATTTTGTTTTGTATTTATCTCGATTAGAAAAATACAATTAGAAGAACATGTTTGGTTCCTGACCTCTTGCTGCACTCCAGCCATTGCATGGATTTGTAAATTCCACCAGCAGCGCAGGTGATTACATTTAATGAAAGATGTAAAGACATGCAATCACAGTGTGTGATTTACATGTTTATATTTATTTATTTTAAAGTTAGTTTTTTGGATAAATAAATGTTTTCTTCTCCTCTAAACAGCTTTATATATAATGTTCTGTTATGCACAGCACTGTAGGTTTAAAGTGTGATTCCACATCTGTACATGTATTGCGATAGATACTGTCTGACCTCATGTTATTGGGTCATCCATGTTCCTCATTAATTTAAAACCGAAGTGTTGTTGGTATATCATGCCCCTGTCTCCTCCAGTTTCACCACATGTGATTTTACACTAAGCTTCTTCTTTTTTCACATCTTTAGCCACAAAATCCAGCAACCCATTTTAATGGAATTCATTTTAGTCATTATATGTACTATATATATATATATATATATATATATATATATATATATATATATATATATATATATTATTTTTCAGAAATATTATTTTTAGGGTACTTGTAAATAAGTGTAATTTGAATTCAATATTCCACTAATTTGGTTATCTTTAGATCAATACATGGTTTCAGAATCAGTTTTATAAACATTTCAGGTTATATGTGCAGATCTAGTAAGTGGAGGCAGTTACCTCATAGTTGGCCTGCAGAAATTGACTGCACAAGGATGGCTTTACTCTTTCCTCCCCTGCTAAAACAGTAGTACATTCAGTATAATGTTCTGTGGAGGTCATCATAGCATTTAAGCAGTTCCTTATTTGGGCTTATATCTATTAGCACAATGAACAAAGGACAGTTTCATGTACAGATATCAGTCATAGGTTGTAAAGTGTAATCAGTGTGACCGAGACTGAGACAAGGCCTGTCTGTAGTGGTTGGCTGTTATGCCTGAGAGGTGAGTGCTGTGATGATGTGAATGGAACGGGTCAAAAACAAGTTCAAAGCAGCGTTTGAAGATCCAACATCACCTAATTAAATATCTACAGTAATTGACTGAATCCTATAAGGAGAAGTGGAGTGTCCTTTCTAGAAGTGAAATGAACAGTATGGTATTTTTACATGAATACATACATAGAATAACTAAATTTGTAAATAAATATTTTCAGATAAAGAGGTTATGTGTACATGCTGCTATGGAAAGTACAAAAGGGAATAAGTCTGGAAGGTCTACAGATGAAAGCCTTTTTAGCCAAAATATGTGACACATTGCTGGAAAGAGTTCTAAGAAATTGTTCTTGTACTGAAGCAAATAATTAGTTCTATTAGAGTACAATACTAATTTGAGAAAATAAAGTACTGACATATCTATCCATGGATTTTTCAGAACCTAATTTTCTCACTTATAGCTTGTTGCACTACTGCCTTGTACCTAAACATGTCACCATCAGGGCACCTTTCCAAGATAAGTACTCCTCAAGGTACTTTTCATTGATATTTTGTATAGTTCTGTTGTTTATACTTACACCAACGTATACAACACAATGAACTACTATGTACAAGGTAACTTGGATTGTACGGGAATGTGTGGTGCTGGCCAGTAGAAAATCACCAATGCATGATTTTATGTGATTATATGATGCAGTGCAAATTGATACAGAGTTTAAAATCAAGCAGGCCTGACTGCGCCATTGCACTCAGTAATCGCCTGCTTTGCAGACTGCAATCCACCCCATTAAATATCCTAGTGGGTGTGAACCATCAAAGCCCTGAAAAGATCACATAGCCTAGGCCTTAGCAACTCCTCTGAGTTTGTTTACGTCATTCAAAAAAACACACTGGTCTTCTATTCAGTCAGAAACCTGGCCGTTAAAAGTTGCCACACAGGATTGAGACGCAAGTAGCTGCATGCAGTGTGTGATCATCTGTATTAGTACAGACTTGTTTCTTGGATATATTTTAAATGCTTTATTATAACCTCACCACATGGTGGCAGTAGAGCTGAGAGTAGGTTTTACCTCACTATGGGTTGGTTTCCCAGACAGGGATTAAGCCTAGTCCTGGACTACACTTTCCGTTCAGTGGAATCTCCAGTGAATCTACATTCAGACACAGAACTATGTTTAATGCCTGTCCTGGAAACCAACCATATAAGTCCAAAAGTTTGTAGACACCTGCTCATCAAACGTTTCTTCCAAAATCAAGGGTATTAATAGGGAGGTTGTTCTCCCTTTGCTGCCCTAACAACCTCTACTCTTCTGAGATGGTTTTCACTTCATATTGGATCATTGCTGTGAGGATTTGATTGCATTCAGCCACAGGAGCATTAGTGAGGCCAGGTACTGATGTTGAGAGATCTTTTCACAAACAGCACTCTAAACCATCCCAAAGTTATCGGATGGAGCTCCATCACAACTGAGAACACAGTTCTGCTGCCCCACAGCCCAGTGCTGGAGGCTTTATACCCATCTAGCTGATGCTTAGCATGGTTGCTTGTGCAAATGGAACACCTGTGTCAGTGATGGACGTGTCTTAAAGTAGCTGAATTTAGTTATTAACACTGCTGCCCTTCATGCTGCATACTGGAGATTGATTTCTCTGCCTGGGCAAGTACATCATGCTACACCAATAAGGATCTTTGAGCAAGAATCTTAACACTACACTAGGTGTTCACCCTACCTCTGAAAACAGGATTATACTATAAGTGTCTGAATATTTTTGGATATGGTGTACTTTTAATTATGAATTGTTGCAGATAGATATATCGGATTTTACTCATTGTTCAGATGTTGGGTTCATGCCTGTGTGAATCAATGAATAAAGCTCTGAAAGTGAATGTTACTGGTTATTTACTTGGGTTGATTTATTACGCAGCTACAGCCATGGTCTGTTTTTGTGAAATGAACATTTGCCAACAATTATTTTTACAAGGCTGTAACTCATGTTCACCCTGCTGAGATCCTACATCCTTAAGGTCAAAATGTCATTATACAGCAGGTTTTATTTGGGAACATGCCCTGAGCTATAATACGGTCTTTTTTTTGCAGTTGTTTGCACTTAGAGGTTATTCATAAAATAGGCCATGACTGACAGGAGCACAAGACATCCACAGTCAGTGAGTTAATCCAGACTCAGTCGATGGTAGTGGTGGCAGGAAAAGTGCCTTAAGAGCTTGAAGAAGAGCATGAAAGGAGCCAAGACTCAAAAGGAGAACACATCCTCCTCTGAGCAACACCAGACATCCTATAAATCCAGCTTAAAATAGGTGTATTGTACTTAGGAGATGTCACCGATCCAATACCAGGTATGGGTATTTGACTGATATCAGCAGAAAATGCGTTTTGAAGAATTTAAATAATTTCAAAGCTTAGTAGATTTTAAAGAAACAATTTCAGATCCAAATCAATACCAGCTGACAACTCAGCATTGAAAAATTGGTATGTGTATTGGAAAAGAAAAGTGGTACATGCAGTCTCTAATTATGTGGTTGTAGGTGGTATTACCGTCATTTGGGTGCACTGTCTCTCGGTTCTCACATAAGGTTATTAAAACATACAAGACGAAACGTCTCATTACCATGTTACACCCTGAACAGGTCGCCAGTCCATCGCAGGGCAAAAACAACACACGAAAGGGAAAAATGTTTTGTTGATGGAACCTCCATTGTACTGGGTAAAATTATAGTTCTCTCAGTGCTCTAGCTTCTTGTTTCAATGTTAACACAAACAAGCCTCCAGAACAAAGACAGCCTTACATCATATAGAGTACAAGAAAATTCCAAGAAGTTACTTTGTTGTACTTTCTTATCTGACTGTTATGTCATGCTTTTATTACATTAGCTTGTGGGTGTATTTTTGCTGTATGCTCAATAGCCTGTTCACTCTCCTCATTGAATTAGCTGTTCTTGCTAAACTTCCTGGCTGTGGTTTTGCCAGAGAAAGTGTAGAATGCTTAAAGGGCCCATATCCTGCATTTTTCTTGGATTTTATTTTGCCCCCTTATGGCATTTATGTTGTAAAAATAAACCTAATTCATTTTAGCATGACCATTTTCCAACTTTTCATTGATTCTCAGAGTAATTATGCAGGCGAAAATATCATTGTGGGTATTTAAATCAAATTAAAACTATGACAAAACGGCAATTGTTTATTTTCAATGGATA